ACCCCTGATGGGGGACCGCAGGCTCCAGTACACAACAACGGTTTACAACAAAGCAAAGCGACAACAGGAATGCTGTCCCTTTTATATCCAGTCCGTTCATCAGTGTCCTCAATGCAGTTCCTGATGCCTCTTCACCTCTTCGTGCGTCCAGCCAACAGCAATACTCGATCACCTCCAGGCACAACACCACTGCGTCCTGTTGAAAGGAACGCCCCATCACGCGCAGAATGACAGGCGATTCCCCTCCAGAGTCAGCCAGAGAAGCGGCGACCGCACATCGCTCCCTTTCAGCCTTCGTTCGCAGCCCGCACTCGCTGCCGGAACCCGCAGTACCTCCGCCTTAAAGCAGTCCCGTCCACGGCTCGCGATTCCTTCGACACACCATGTAATGCGCCCTCCCTTTCACCTCCCGTCGCTCCCCGTCGACCCACGTCGCGCCAACGCCCTCGCTGGCGCACCGGGTCCTCCACCCGCGATCGCACAGCCCTCACGGTGGGTGTCGACCCTTCACGGCGCGCCTTAGTAAGGCGCCGGCATGTGGAGATGCCCCACGTTTGGGGCCCGCGTCCGCACGCTTGCTAGTAGCTATCCCCTGCCGCGCAGCCTCACGGAAGCCACGCCTTGGGCGTCGGGGGCCTGCGATTTGCCAGGCGGTTCGGAACGCGGCCTTGCGGCACTCGGAGCACGGAACCCAGCACCGACAAGGATCTGTTACAATATCGCCATGTCCAACTTTTGTACGCCAAACCACACATCGGACATTCCCATCAATCGTTTCACATATTCCAGCTGTCAATGCACTCGCGATTCAACCCGACAGCCGCGCTTCCATCACATAATCCAATGTCCCTTTCAATCACAACAGCTGTCACTACTCTTGATTCAACCCACAGCTGTCCTTCCGCCAGATCATCCAACGCCGTTGCCAATGATAACCGGCCAACCCGATAATCCATCAGCCCTCACATCAATTCTTGGACAAAGCGCACATAGCAGAAATGAAGTATAAACAAAGCATAGATGATTCATCTATTTCAGAAATCGACCGCAATTCATTATGCTATACTTCAACATGGGCACTCCCGCCTTCCACTGTGCAAACTCCGAACTATACGTGTAGCCATGATGTCACAACATCGAATATGCTAAATTGCGGTTCTTGGTGGGCCCATCAGATTCTTCTCAAAAAAAGAGTGCATCATATTCAAAACCCTTTAAGTATACATTAGCAAATCCCCCTTCGTCGCTGCACTAACCCTACCCGGAGAGCCTCCCTTACTCAATACTAAAAATCGAGCGAGATGAGGGGCTCCGGTGGTGGCCGCTGCACTAACCCTACCCGGAGAGCCTCCCTTACTCAATACTAAAAATCGAGCGAGATGAGGGGCTCCGGTGGTGGCCGCGCTTTCCCAGAGTCAATTGCCCAATTTCAACCACAAAGGTTCTAATGCATGAAAAAAGAAGAATCCCCCTTTACATTCCGAATTCTAGAACAACCTTTTAGCATCGTCGTTCATTACTATCCTCCTCAGATTTAGAGTCATCAGATTTATGATTCACATGATCCCCATGGAGCCCAACCTAGCTCCGAAACCATGTTGAAAGGAACGCCCCATCACACGTAGAATGACGGGCGATTCCCCTCCGGAGTCAGCCAGAGAAGCGGCGACCGCACATCGCTCCCTTTCGACCTTCGTTCGCAACTCACATTCACTGCCGGAACCCGCAGTACCTCTGCCTTGCAGCAGTCCCGTCCATGGCAGAGCTGGGCCCGGCCAAATGGCATAAGAACGGGAATGGGAACGGTGTCCGTCCCCGTTCCCATCCCAGTCCGTCCCAGTCCGTTCCAGTCCGTTCCTGGGCCGTTCCCTAGGAACGGATTTGGGCCGGATCTGGGCCGGACCGGAACTAGACGTGGTCCCTTTTGTCCGTCCACAACAGAATTTGGTTGGCTCCGTAAATATTCCATACATGCAACAGAATCCATGAGCGGGCTACAAAGAGAAAAAGTGTTTTACAAAAATAGGTGGGGCTATGCTGATGTCAGCATAGACAGCTACAAAAATCCACACAACCTTCCAGAATTGAACCATGGGTTACAGAATCCGCGCCACAGCTGACAGATGATAGGCCCCAATAACAGAACTGTTGACCGGACCACAGAAGTCGACAGAATTCCATCAAAGTGCACGGAGCAAGTACAGACGCTTGTACTATGTACAAAGTACAATTTGTTTTGGCAAAAGTGCTGGATAACAGCCGCAGAGTGGGTCCCATTCCCGGACTGGACGGGCAGACGCCTCGTTTACTGTAGGTTGTGTTAATATATGTAGTCTAGCGTTTGCAACGGATGGCTGGGAAAGAACAGCGGGTCGCATCCCCCGTTTGGCAAGGAGTACCAGCTGAGGCAGCATTTATGATGGCATGGACTGCAAATAGGTAGACATGCGTTGTTTATACATGTATTAATATTGCACTTCGTGATGTCACTGTTGTGGCTTGTATGTAGAGGCAAAGGTTGCTCGACACAGAGGAAAACTCCGCTTGGAAAAAATTGCCTCCAACAGAACCCGTTGCTAACCAACGGAACACTAGCGGAATCTCCAAGTCCCTGACGGATGGCAACACAACGCGAGGAAAGGCAACAGAAAAAAAAGCACTTTTACAAAAACCGGTGGCTGCAAACACCCCCTTGACGGACAGCTCCAGAGCCAAAAAATTGAAAGCTGATGTGGCATGAACGGCTACAAAAACCCAGCCCCAGCAAAGTAACGGAAAATTGACGGACAGATTTTTTGTGTTAAAAAAAGTACAGAAGTAAATTAACAGAAAAAAAGTTGAGCGGCCACGTCTAGCCGGAACGGGGTTGGAACGGGTCCGTTCCCACCATGGAACGGACTCTGTTCCCAACAAGAACGGACAACAAAGCACGGAAAGGGGTTGCAGCTGCCGGGCGTTGCTAACAATCAAAACCAATTGTTGTTGGGCTACTGCACGCCATGGCAAGGGGAGCTGCCAAAACGGTGGACGCCTCTTGCAAGCAATCTTCCCACCATCGGAGGCGGTAATTGATGGCCCAAGTGTGGACCGAGGCGTGTGCTCACATAGCGGTGAAAGGGGCACCAACATGCCTCGGTCGTTGATAACATTTTGGTGGGCAGCTTGCCGCACAGCTGCCTCCCATCGTGTCTAATTCAAAACGGGAGTGGGCAAAACATTACCCGCTCGTAGCGATTCTAAGGGCAAGGGCGCCTTTGGCCTCTCCCCTTCCTCTATTTTGGCCCACGTTGCCCTCCCCTCCCTGCTCCCCCTTTTGTTGACCACTAGCAAGCTAAGACGTTGCCGAGAATCGAACTCGGGCCGTTGGGTGGGGCACCCAACATGGTGACCATTTCACCACAACGCCAGATTCACTTGCAATTCTAGGGACGATTCTAATAAGCGAGGGGCCTTTGGCTGCCTCTCTCTCCTCTCGAGCCAAGTATCGTTTTGGAGGATTCATTTGCTTTTAATGATTATATTGATTGTTGGCTGGAGTGAGGGCTTGTTTAGAGCATTCTCTTTTGACTGTTTCGTGACTTCAGACCCTCTCCGATGCCTCTCAATTGGCGCTTTGAGCGCCGATTTCACGCAACTGGTGAGGCTGCGTCGCCTCACCGCACTTGCCTCCGCCTCCACGTGCCTCCCGCGTCGTCCTTGTCCTTGCCACTGATGGTGGGCACCACCAGCGCCTCCCCACAAGGCGGCAGCGATGTGTGGTGGCAAGAAGGCCAGGAATTGCATGACGCACTTAGGAGCACCCATCATTGATCAACAAATGCAAGACGGGCGCTTCCAACTGCATCATACAATTCTGATTGGCCCACATGTGATGTTGCCGGATAGGAACGGACTCTATGACAGGCTGAAACGGAGGGAGGCATGGCATGGAGCAGTACAGGAACGGACGCCCAGGTGGGCCGTATTGCGCCGGAACGGAGTTGGGATGGCAGTACACCATTCCAGATCCGTCCCGAGTCCGTTCCAGCTCAGGGACGGGCCGTTCCTTGGCCGTTCCTGGGCCTACCGGCCCAAGGATGGGAACGGACTCCGGTCCGTCCCCGTTCCCGTTCCCGTCCCCGTTCCTAGTCCGTCCCCGTTTCTGGACGGCCCAATTCTGATCCACGGTTCGCGATTCCTTCGACGCACCACGTAATGCGCCCTCCCTTTCACCTCCCGTCGCTCCCCATCGACCCACGTCGTGCCAACGCCCTCGCCGGCGCACCGGGTCCTCCACCCGTGATCGCACAGCCCTCACGGGGGGTGTCAACCCTTCACCGCGCGCCTTAGTAAGGCGCCGGCATGTGGAGATGCCCCACGTTCGGGGCCCGCGTCCGCACGCTTGCTAGTAGCTATCCCCTGCCACGCAGCCTCACGGAAGCCACGCCTTGGGCGTCGGGGGCCTGCGATTTGCCAGGCGGTTCGGAACGCGGCCTTGCGGCACTCGGAGCACGGAACCCAGCACCGACAAGGATATGTTACAATATCGCCATGTCCAACTTTTGTACGCCAAACCACACATCGGACATTCTCATCAATCGTTTCACATATTCCAGCTGTCAATGCACTCACGATTCAACCCGACAGCCGCGCTTCCATCACATAATCCAATGTCCCTTTCAATCACAACAGCTGTCACTACTCTTGATTCAACCCACAGCTGTCCTTCCGCCAGATCATCCAACGCCGTTGCCAATGACAACCGGCCAACCCGATAATCCATCAGCCATCACATCAATTCTTGGAAGAAGCGCACGTAGCAGAAATGAAGTATAAACAAAGCATAGATGAAATCGACCGCGATTCATTATGCTATACTTCAACAGTCCGTAAATGAAGTAAACTCCTCTCATTATGCCTGCTGCCCCAATAGTAGTCCCAACAGTCCGTGGCCATCCTCAAGTCACCCGCTCCCAGCCCCCACCCCCAAGCCCCCATCGGGCCTCACCAGCCCGATCAGGATGCGGTGCAGCGTCTTTCGGCGTTCCTGCGCCGGCGCCGGAACGCAAACACAGCCGCGGTTACCGCGGGCCGTCCCCACGCGCGATGGCCGACGCTGCGCCAGGGCGGCGCCGCGCTCCACCGCCTGCCGTGCGCACAAAATCGTGGTGCTCCCCGGCGACGGCATCGGCCCGGAGATCGCCGACGTGGCCCTGCGGGTGTTGACATCGGCGGGCAGGGCGGAAGGGGAGGAGTTTGCGTTCGAAGAAGGCCTGATCGGCGGGGCGGCGCTGGATGGGGCAGGGGTGCCCTGCCCGGAGGCGACGCTGGAGGCCTGCAGGCGGAGCGACGCGGTGCTGCTGCCGGCGGTTGGAGGGTGGGTAAGATTTGGTGCAGAGGACAAGAGAAATACAGGTCGTACATAGGGCGCCCCCTCCTAGGCAGGTGTATGCAAATGAAAGAAAATCCGTGCAGGCAGCGTGATAACTCGACACACTGGTCATGTCGTGTGTCTCTGCTGAACTCAGGTAGTCAAACAGCGTCCCTCTGCTAGTGGTCTACAATGACCTTGCAATAGTCGGCAGGCAGGTGTATGCGAGACTCTTTTGCATGCTGCGGAAAGATGATGGAGAGTCTCCGGTGTGCGATGATGAGCGAGCAGCAGTCATGTTGGAGGGTGGGTGAGCCCCAGCGTGCGTGGGATCGTTTTGGGGGGTTGATTGGTGATCCGCCTGCTTGCTTAGTGAGGGATGACGATTGAACTCGCTTGTTTGTTTGATAGTTTGATAGTTGATGTTCCTCTTGGTCGGTGAGAAAATTTTGTTCCAGACTTAATGGGGATTGTTTGAAGCATTGAGCTGCTGGCTGGGAGGGACGGAATATTGTAGCAGGTTGGGATAATGTGCCCGTCATAGCCAGGTTTATGGCAAGGGCTGTGCGTTGTGCAGCAATGGCAGTAAGAAAGTATGCAAAACAGGCCCAGCATGCATTCCAGATGGCAAGAAAAATACACTGTAAACAAAGGGCTGGAGGTGCCATCCAGCAAACCCCACAGCTTGCGAAAGTCAACCAGTGCCAGAAGTAAAAAAACAAGAGATGTTAACTCTAGCCAAGTGCAAGATCAAAAATTCCAGTGAATTGCCCTCTGTAGCTGGAATGTCCTTGTGGCAAATGTGAAGCTTGTGTTGCGTTGCTGACTTGGATCCATGGCTCAGCTTGTGTACCCTGGATACTGCTGATTTCCCTTGGAATAGATGTTTCGATCGTTTTCCATTCTTTTCACATGTGAGAATATGCAACAGCAATATGTGGCTCAGAGTTGTCAAAGGTGGGATTTATTTTTGGCAGTCAATGAATTTCCACACTGGACTGAGGCTCACTCCCATTAATGTGGTGAAGCAACAACCCTTCGAGTGTCCTCTGCGATTCGCAGGCAATTGCGCACAAGGATGAATTGTGCGGCTGTTGGGACTGATGCACCTCCCTGTTTTTCCAGGTACAAATGGGACAATGTTGATCCTGTCCTCCGTCCTGAACGCGGCCTTTTAACCCTTCGTGCTGGTCTTGAAGTGTTTGCGAATTTGAGGCCTGCGGTGGTGCTACCACAGGTATCATTGTGGCCCCGGCTCAGGGCTGTTCAGCACTTCCCATTTGAGTGGTCCTGTCGGACAACAGGCCACTGGATTGAATCTGTGCATATGTGTTTTCATCCCCGCTTTTGAAACGGGAATCTCCCCTGAGGAGAGAAGGCCTGTGCATGGCATACGTCTGTGGCAAGAACAAATGCTGTGGAGCACAGGTTGTTGTTTGCCAAGGGCACTGATTCTCCCAGAGTGCAGAACAGGTTGCGCACTCTCTTAGCAACTTGTGCGCCTGTCGTGGCCTTCAAGGTGCAAGTGCGGCGATTTGCCCTTGCAAATGATGTCAAAGGATTAGTCAATGGATTTGTGCTGAACACTGGCTTGGCCATGTGGCTCTTTGCCCATGCCAGAGGGTGAGCCCTTGCTTCACCTGCTGATTGCTGTGTTCTCCAGCTGGCAGGGGCCTCAAGTTTGAAGTCTGAAATAGTTACTGGGGTCGACATCATGATCGTGCGTGAGCTCGTCGGAGGCATCTATTTTGGGGAACCTCGGGTAGGTAATGGACACACCCAGTGGACCTGCAGCTTATGGGTGCAAGCTTTCGATTGCTTGAATGGGTTGCTGGCACTCTGTCACCATCTTCCCACAGTTGCCTTGCAGGTTGAGACTTTAGGTTTTCTTAGGTTTTATAGTGTTTAGGATACGAGGCAGAGCTTGGCGATTTTCTGGCAATTGGAATCTAGTGGATTGACTGGCACCTGTTTTAAATCGATCCCATTGGTTGTGTAAGTAATGGTGGGTGCCAGGTGTGGGTTGCCCAGTGACTTCACACATTGCTGTTAAAAAATTCTCCCGGTTGCATTAACAGATGATTATTGTGTGGTTGTCATCACCTTCAGGGATTCAGGACCAACGAAAATGGGGAGAAGGTTGGCTACAACACCATGATTTACTCTGAAAAAGAGGTAAGTTGACTAGTGTTCAATTGTTGAATGTTGCTATCAGCAAGTTCCATGTTGCTTAATGTGCTGCATGTTCTGTCATTTGCTGTTGCTGTGTTATTTATTACTCATTTCTTGTTAAGATATGTCTGCACCTTGTCCTCCCTGCTTAACAGCCAAAATGTGGACTGTTCCTGTGCTGATGCTGTCTGACAATGTTCTTGAAACACACACAGGTCGAGCGAATTGCACGTGTTGGCTTTGACATGGCACGCAAGCGAAACAAGCGGCTGTGCTCTGTGGGCAAGTCTAATGTGTTGGAGGTCTCCATGCTGTGGATGGAAGTGGTTTCTCGAATAGGGGAGGAATACGCAGACGTAGAATTGACCCATATGTACATCGACAACGCTGCGATGCAGCTTCTCAGGAATCCAAAGTCCTTTGACACAATTCTCACAGGTGGGTACTTGCTTGGTTGACGCCCTGCTTGTTGTGGAAGTTTGGCTTCACTTGATTTGACCTCTGCATTTTCTGGTGCATCTGCAACTCTTCATTCTGGACTTTCTCTGCCCAACTACGTGCTGCTTTCCTGCTTTGCTTCTGTCTGGATGCACTGGTCTGATGATGTTGCAACAGGAATGGGTTTGCCTTCTGAGTGTTGTTTGACACTGCTAGGTGGTGCATCGTGTGTGATGTAGGGAACATTTTTGGTGACATATTGTCAGATGAGGCAGCAATGATAACTGGGAGTCTGGGAGTGCTGCCATCAGCCTCCATCAGCAACACAGGGCCTGGGATTTTTGAACCCGTCCATGGATCAGCACCAGACATCGCAGGACAAGACCTTGCCAATCCCATCGCGATGGTGCTGTCTGCAGCCATGATGTGTCGATATGGGCTGAACATTCCAAAGGTGGGCAAAACGCACTGCTCTGCTGCTGATCCATTGGCAGTTGTTGTGCCCCACTGAAAAGAGACAAAGCTAATAGCCAACGGCAGTTTCATTAGATTCGAAGTACAGCCTGCCTGCTTGCTGCCTCATTAAGTGATGGATCAGTGCACAGTAGGTGCATACTGCCAATGACAAGTGTTGCATCAACACAGAGCAAGTACACGTTGCCATCTGGTGTGGACAGCGGTGGGGCGTTTCCAGGTGTATTTGCCCAAGCAGGGCCTATTGGGGTATCTGAATCTCAAAGACTTGTAATGGAAGGGTATGAAACTTGCAGTATGTGTTTTAGTGGCAGTGGAAGTAGGGCATGAGTCCCAGGTGTAATACATGCTCGATGCTCGATATGATGTGGTATAGATAAACATATGGTGATACGTTCAGAAACCGTCAACGCCCACTGAAATTGCACAAGAAAACAGATCTTCACCAGAACACAAAATTGCATCCTTGCAGGAGAGGCTATAGTATTGTACACAAAGCATTCTCTGGTGCCCAACAATTGATGAAATTATGGTCCACAAAAAGACACGGTGCTGCCCTCACATCGCCATAACCACAGCAACCATTGCGCATCGGCATCTTGATCCTCTGCTGCTAGCTTTGCTATCGGTGACAATCCTCTGCTTCTCATTTGGCTATCCATCGTATGAGTGCACACTGACTTGCCCTTCAGCATGACTGGTTTCCAGTCAGTTGCGCTTTTGTGGATGCTCCATTGGCATCTACCGTTATTTGCAAACAAAGCAAGGCCACGAATGTCTGCAATCAGCCACAGCCATACTCTCCACATCGCTTTGCACAAGACATCTCTCTTGCCAAGTCACACACACCCACAATTTGCAGGATGCCTTTTTCTCGTTTGATGGATGGCTCTGTATCACTTTGCACAGTAATTACGTCCTTGTACTTTTACATCCCTTCATTCTTGGGACAGCCTGCGTGGGTTACTTAGTATACAGATTGGGCGGAAACCCCATCATGTTCATTTGGCCCGTCTACAAGGGGCACGTCCACGCAAAGACAGCCAAGTTGGGCGCTTCATGAATGGTAGCACGGAGACATTGCAAACCCTGAGGTCCGTGCATTGTTGCTCTCTATGGTGGCTGGATGTTGGATTTACAACGCAGTAATCTCAATGAACTGTCAAAGTGTGAGTTTTGAGCATATTTTGTATGTGCTTTGATTTCTGAAAATCTGCTGATGCGAGCATTTTGAAGATGACAAGACTGTATGACACAACAATGTCATGTGCTGCATGATAGGTGGCTGAGAGGATGGAAAACGCAATTGCGTTGGTCCTGGATCAGGGCTACCGCACAGGTGATATCATGTCTGATGGCATGACCCAAGTAGGCTGCAAGCAACTGGGAGATCTCATTCAGGAGCAGGTGGAGGCACCTGTGGGTGTTGGAGTTAGGTGACAGTGGGTGGAATTGCAGGCACTCTGGGAGCAGGGCCTTGGGTATCTGCTTCTTGACTCCAAAATTGAACAGCGGGCGGTGTCTTGCTAGTTCCCAACGGTTGTGGGCGATTGAACCTACATATAGGGATCACCTTGCTCCTTGCCCTTGTCCGCAGGATGATGTTATTTAAAGGCATAGGGGCAGCCTGGAGCATGGGACCAGGAACGAATTCAATGGTGTTTCCCACTGTGGCTGAAGTGTTGGACGTTGAGAATAAATCATCATGGCGTAGAAAAGCGTTTGGAGGGCCGGCTTCGCTGCAATTCTCCTGCTCCTGTAGTGCCGACTCAGACACTGGCGCATTTGCACCCGACAGCGCCAGCAAGTTTAGTCAGGAGCGCTGGCAGGGTGATGCGTTCGAAGCATGCTAGTATTGCTGCGTCTGTGAATTGGGCCAGTCGTGCCAGGTGTTGCAAACCATGCAGCTCAATGCACCAAAGCCCGGCGGGGCTCTGAGGCCATTTCTGGCAATGCGACGGGCTTTCTGGCAACCCAAACAAGGCTCCCCAAAGAGCCAACCTGAGGCCAGGTCAGCAGCAGTGCAGCACACAGTTCTCCCTGTCACACCGTAGAAAGTGAGCCTGTACGGATCTGCGTGAATGTGAATTGTATGAGCTGATGCTGTCGCTGTCTCGTCGTTCGAATGGTGCGAAGCTTTGCATCTGCGCTGTGGCAGAGGTGGAGAGGATGGCAACCATGCTCTGATCAGTCTCGAAACGCCAGTGCCTGCCCCATGCCCTGCGGTGCCGGCGTTCAGGACCATTTTGTCCCAAATTGCCAGCCCAGTTGCCGCCAACCAGGCTGGCGATCGCTAAGAAAGTTGCTGGTGATTCAGGTGACCTACTCCGCAGGTCTGCGAGAAATGAAACAAAATCGGCTTGCCAATGGGGCCAGGGAAACGAGGGGGGGGGGATGTCCGTTGGAGGCCTATGGATCCTTTGCCTTGGGCGCAATGCTCCTCCAAGAGTGTATAGACAGCATTGCTTGTGCAGTGTACAACTGAATTGAGCAAACAAATTCTGTGCGTGCCAGCCACAGTGCTTCTTTCGACATACTACCGCTTGAATCCGCTGCTGATTCCCAATGTCCGTTTAGGGACTCCAAGCCGCGGACGGAGGGTCCATTACCAGCGCCCGTCTAAAGCACCAGCACCACGCAACACCTTCGCAGCGCCACTCGACAGATAAACGGCGCCGGGGGGACAAAGGCCCATTTCTCAATCGCAATTAGCCAACCAGCGCCTCTCTTTGGCAAATGTGTGCCAGGCACGTGGCCAGACGCAGACGAACGCAATGGCTTGGCGTGCACGCAGCGCACGCCTGCCTCTTCCTCCTTGCCCGGCAAGGCAATGCACATGTCCGCGCTCCTCAATCCACGACGGACGCAGCCATGTCTCTGTACGAGGTCATGTAGAATCGCGAGGGGATCTTGTAGAAGGGGCGTTGGGTCTGCTGGCACCGCGCGGCCTCCCGCGCAAAGTGGAGCTGGTCGAATTCCCTGGCTGGCCTGTCGATGAGCTGGGATCTCATCTTCTCCTGGAATCTCGCCTGGTCGACAAGCGCGCTCTCCCCAAGGGCACCGACGTCGTCTCCGAGGATAAAGTCCCCATGGCGCGTCAACGATCCCTCAATGGCGGCGAGGATGCTCTTCCTGCGAACGTTGAGGATGGGAGTTTCAGAACTTTACAACTCCTAGGAGTTGAGGACTTGAGGACTTTCGGACTTTAGGACTTTTGGACTTGAGAACTTGAGGATTTGAGGGCTTGAAAACTTTGGGAATTTTAGGACGTTTAGGACTTTAGGCCTGTAAGGACTTTGGGGCTTTTCGGACTTTAGGACATTTTGGACCTTAGGACTTTAAAACTCTTAGAGCATTTGGAAGGCCCAAAGTAAGAGCTCCCTTTTCTGGAAATGACATCTTGCAAACCAAGCTTTGGGCTTACAGTGGACGACAGGAATTGTGTTGACGACGGAAGGTGCACATTCCCTGCATCGGCGCAGCCCAACAGACGGCTTCTCCCAATTGACGAATTGTTTCTTTGCCGCTCATGGATCATAAACTAGAAGGGCATATGTTCACTGCTATCGCCTGGGTCAGATACACTGACCAGCGTGTTTATTGCTGCTGTTCTCCGTGAGACAATGATTGAACGCGACGAGAGGGTTGAAATAGGCATTTATCTTTACCGACGATGCAGGCCCAACCCGCAAAACTCCGTCAGGGTCACCTGCAAGAGCGGGCGTCTACGGTAACTCGGCGAGGCTGAAAGATCGAAGAGTCCTTTGGAGATTTTTCATTTCATTTCAGCAGGTAAAGATGGTTTTGCGACCGCGCAAGCTCTCCAAAACCTGTTCCCGGAGAGCAGCGCCTGGCGTGCCGCTCTTTGACCACCTTTTGTGAGCGTAGTACGCAAAGAACTCGTCGGCGTATTCTAAGCATCTCAGCGTATCCAAGTACATCCTTCCCCACTCCAGGTCCATGCCGTGGACGGCGCAACCTGCAGCCAGCGCAGAGCAGCGGCTATCAATTCCAACAATCTATATTCCATTCCAAATTCAGCAATCCAGCCAGTGTCGATGGACATTCGATTTTCACATAGAAGTGTAGTTCCGGAACACAAGACTGTCAATGCCGCGGGCAACCAGGCAGAAAATGGCTGTCTGTCGAAATGGGAGGTGTGCCAATGCACAGAGACCAAGCTTTCCAGTCTCCTGTAATGCGCAAAATGAGATCGAGTCACTGTACGTGTAACAAACGAGAGTGCAAAACATGCACCTTCCCCCAAGAGGCGCGCCATAAGCCCCAGAAGAGTTTGTTTGTCTTCGCACGCCATCACAGCCTCCAAGCTCTGACGGAGCAGGAAGACTATCGGGTCCGCGCAAGTTTGGGACTCGACTGGCTGGGAACCGCCGCCTGAGAATCCACCGCACAACATTCCTCAGATCTTTGGTGGATTAGTCGGTGACGTTCGAAATGCGCAGTATCACTTATGCAAGTGCCGCGGCCACACCAAGAAACAGGCAGCTGCCGCAATTCCCGTGTCATGGCTTCAACTGAAACATATGGCTCACTGATGCATCAGTGTTTGACGGCAAATGTGGGGGCGATTGAGCAACAAGATACCTCATGGTGTTTCTGGGCCCCCTGCACCTGGGTCTCTCCGCGCATTGATTGGCATCCGCGCCGACCACGTGCATAGATATCCGCAGATAAAACCGTCGACGCACCTGCTTCTGGCCCAATGCTGCTCAATGGGGGCACTGGATCTCGTCCAAGGACCTCTACCGGGCGGTAGCTACCGCTGGATTTCAACAGAAGGTCTGTGGAAGACAGTGGCGTGAATCCCACTACATTCCTGGCCCGAACTAGTGAGTGCTCCAGGAACTTCTGAATGTTGAACTCTTGCCAAAACGCCATGGACATGGAGACGGCCATCACGTTGCGCTCTGTTCCGATGTGCTTCAGGGCAATCTTCAGGTCACCGGTGTCGCCACCCCACTCCGCCGGCGTTGAGACGCCGTTCGAAATGTAATTTCTGTCTTCCAGAGCGACGAAGCCTGGGAATAAGAAACAGGAATCCACGGTCAGGCCGCTGTTCGTTTTGTGTCGTTTCAATCCTTGTTTCAACAGGCCTCAGTCACTGCTTCACTTTCTTTCAACAGTTTTTCAATCTTTGTTTCAATCATTTTGGTTTTCTTCAATCTTCATGCCACAAAATGGCTGCAAACATGCGAAGGATGTTCCCACGCGAAGCCGCACTGCGCAGGGCGTCCTCCAGCACCTTGCTCTTCCTTGGCGTAGGTCGCGCCGTGCATGAACTCGGCCCTGTCCACCTCGTTGCACACGACGTACACGTTGGCCCGCAGGGGCCGCAGGCGGACGCACTTGTTCAGCAACGTGACCCAGTAGTTGATAAGTGGGATTTTGTTCAGCTGAATCAGCCCTCGGGGGACACGTTTGTTGGGCCCCTTTCCCCTGATCATCATCGCCTTGCCTCTCCCCTGACGAGCCTGAGGGTCGTGGCTGTGCTCGTCCCTCTTCCGCAGGATGTCGCCCACAAGGCACTCATTGAAGCCGCCCGACAGTAGGACGACAGCCACGGGCCCCTGCATTGCCAATAGCGCCTCAGCCACACAGGCGCACCAATACACTGTATCAGTACTGCTTCCTGTGTCCGAAATTAGTCATCCTCCAAAATCTTGGTGCCATATTTCTCCGTCACTGAAGCCTTGGTTTTCATATAAACTTCTTCCAAAGCTGTGCATATGAGTTTGGAGTATGTGGTCGAAAAATCAAGTCAATCCATTGAGCATTGAGTATTTGACAGTAATTTGTAACAAGGGCCTTTTGCCTTTCGCCCAACGCTCAAAGATGTCGCGTCTTACTTCCCTTCTTGAAAATTGGTAGTTAATGGGCTTGGAGACATTATGCTTCCAATCAATACGCAGCATTCAACAACACCGATGCATGGCCCCAAAGTGGCTTTGCCTCCTGCCACAGAAGCACCTCGAACGGAAATCCCTTTGTAGGCGGATCCGCTGCGGCCGGTTTAGAATGCGTGTGAGGTGGTTGCTACGGAAGTAGTGCCATCCCCCTTGTGGCAGAAAGCACCCAATTCATTTGCATTTCAGTTCAACTCGATTCCCTCAATTGCGGCGACTCGCCCGCACCGACAGCAACCGCAGCAATGGACTTGCTCCGGCACGCACTTGGCAAGAATCATCCCATACAACGCGCGGATCGGAAACGCGAACGCCGTCTCGTTTCCATTTCGCTCGAACCAGACCGCCCGGCGGCCTGCCACTTGCCGGCTCGCATGTCCCCTCCGCTTCTCGCTCATCAGCCTGCTCGTAGGGCTGGTCGTGCGCTATGCGGACGTAGCTCTGCGTCGGATCAAATCCATCGTCGAAGAGGATGTGAGATGCCCTGTTGACGGCGCCGTTCTGGGCGTCCATGGCAGGGCGGCTCGCCAAAGTCTGCCAAGCCAGGGCAACAGGGTGGTACTCCCTCAGGCTGCGGTTTTCATAGGTCGTTGGCCTGGGGGAGGGGGTGCGCTAACAATCAAAGACGCCATAATTTTAGCAAGAAGACCGCAGCGCTCGGTGGACGCCTCCCACCCATACGGTGTCAGGCGGTGACAGGAGCTTAATTTAATCCATGGCAATCTTTGTTTTCATCCCTACGATCTCCATCATCATCATCATGAGTTTTTTACAGAACAAGGCAATGAGGTAGCCGTCAGCTTCCTATTTTGCCTGAGCAAAGCAGTGTCGGTGATTGGTTCATTAGAATCTAAGGAGAATGCAAACTAAATGTACGAACTATGAAATTTCGCTGCGTAAAAGTGATAATCGATGGTAATACACGATCTCCATCACGACGCCGCCAATACCGTTGCAGCGACGTCGTATTTCTTGAAACCGATCAATTCAAGTATTTTGTTCCAGCTAAATAACATTTTCTGAATTACAACAGTGACGTCGTATGAACAGGGAATGAAGGGCGCGCACGCACAATGGTCGGATGTCGGCGTTTCGCCACCGATTAGGCGATTTTGTGACCACAGCTACAACACCGCGTCCACGCCACGTGCCTTTCGAGATTTCAAAGCCAGTCAGCTGCTGTGCGTCACAGTCTGTTCCCGCGGCGAATCGACATGCCTGGTTTGCCAGCCTCGCCTGCGGCCACCGAATGGGAGAGCCTTGACGCCCAAGAGGCCCCCCGTCTCGATGCCATAACAGACTGCAGCAGAGCCTGCTTGACGGGTGCCGTCAAGGAGTCAACTTGTCGCAACAACTGGGATTCGAAGAACCGCGAGCCTACGCCGCCCTCGTCGAGCACCGGGTGTCGATGTTGTCGGGCAGCGACTTGAGCCCCGCGCGGGTCAGCTTCGGCGGCCAAACACAGCTTTCAATGAGGCTGGGGAGCTGGCTGCCACATCGCCTTGAATGTGAAGTTGCTTGAAGCGAAGAAAGCTTGAAAAGTAACATTTGCTGTTATTTTCTAAGTTAACGAAATTGATGCGCGGTGTTCTTCCAGCCAAACCAAGTCGCCGAGGCAAGCATCATTCCTTTGCTTGAGTTTAGTGCGCCCAATATCGGCTGCGCGAACGGTACGCTCTTTGTACCGGTACTTTCTTTGTGGTTGCCGTCCGCTCATCCTGCCAATTCTGGGTCTCTGGCTCGCTTTTCCAATTCATGTGGCTTCTTCACAGCATGCTGCTTCCAGGGAGTTCGCAGCCAACCGGTGGCTTCCGAACACCTTTTCCCATCTTGTGCTCTGGTTATGGCCGATTTCAACTCCACGCCGCATTGAACAGGAAACCTTGGCCTCAAGTTCCGGATTGGTTGATTGAACCACACTCCCATGATATGTGCGTATTCGCACGGTCAGCCGCACAGAATTTGGGCCTGAGTCACCCAGCCTCACTCACAAGACCTCCGACCAAAGCTGGCGTGCGGTCCAGCGTCAAGCAAAACCGTCCATTTACATTTCCTCCACACGTCAACCTGTGTCTTCATACATGGAATGAAATATAAATTAGACCAGAAGCCACGGTGAATGCGCCGCGTCCCAAAACCAATTCCAGCGATGGACACACAGATAAACGAAATCAAACACAACACTCCGCTTTTCCTCAGTGCAGCGCAACGGCGATGGTCCACCACAAGCGCCCTTGCAAAACACACCTCGCGAGCTGGGGTGAAGCCCCCACTGTGGTGCATGCCACCCACAATGCAGCAGCAAAACACTCATTGCCCCTTTTGCAACAATTCGCTCCCCCTGGCCAGCCCTAAAACTGGAGTCCCGCCACTAACCCGCACATCACCAACGTTCCGATCTTGAATCGTGGTGCGAAAGCACGCCACACGACGACCAAGCGCAAAAGGCTGTGTGCAAAGACTGTATGCAGTGACAATTCCAGAGCGTTGGTGATGTCACCGCCCTCATGTCTTGGTGGCCATCAACACTGGCATTGCTCACGTCCTTGCAAACCATGGGGTCACCTGTGGCAGAGACATCCCGACTATTGCCGTGGCAACAAACGCTCTCTGCGCTCTGCACACACATCTGATGTTCAACGAATCCCATTAAATCCAACGGCTCCTTGAAAGGAGGCCCTCCCATAGCATAGCAGCAGATGGCAGGGCACTGGCTGTGGCGCTTTCAAGACAGCAGCTCACAAAGTCGATGTGCGCCATCACATGGTGCTTCTCAAAAAAACGTGCCTGAAGGCACGGCCTGACTGCGCAGCGGCAACAGGGCCCTTTCAAGCATGCTCCGGGTTTTCTTTCCCATGGACCTAAAACAGTTTGTGCCGATTTGACCTTTACTAAACTCCTCTCTACCCTTCACTGCCCCTCAAACCCCCTGACGCTCTATTAGTATAGGCGGTTACGCTCCCACTCTGTCCGCCATCTGGTCCACAACGTCCCGAGGAAACAATGAAATCATCAAATGCCGATCAAAGACAACAGCAGCATGCAATCTTGACACGTCCACTTATTTGGTGTGCAGCAAAAATGCTGGGACTCAACAGCCCTGTGCACAATTGCCCACATCTCTCCTTGGCACTGGTGAAACGAACAAAAGTCTGTGAGCAGCGGCTGTGCAAGCAGCCCTGCCCACCTGTCAATGAAACCACAACCGCAGCTGATGGAAGGCGAACAGACAGCCCGTTGAGACATTGTCGTCCCCAGCATTCCTATAACTTACGTTCACCTTCCATCAAGGCCCGCGGTTCATAATCCTTTCATGACAGTATTCACACTACCGCTTCACACCCAGAGAGCGAAGACCCTGTGGTGCACTCCACTGCAGACATAACCGCCGATCATGTGCCAGGCCCAGCAGGGTGTTCTACAGTACCCAGGGGAGGTGTCCACAATGGAACGCACCCACCTCTTCTTTTCCCGACCGCTGTAAAGGCCATGATGAGCAAACTGCATCGACAATGAAACAAAACTAAACAGCAGAATATGAAACACACAAACGGCCATTCGAGTGGCAATTCCAGAAACCGCTCTTCAGGGATGCCATGGAGCCGCTTGCCCATGGAGTGTCAGTCCTTGGGCCCAGCAACGGCTCGGATGCTCCAGTCTTCATTTAATTGGCCACTGGGCCATCCCCTCGTCGTTTACCACATTTCGTTCAACACCGTGAAACCTTGTGCTGCTCCTCTACCTTACAAACTAGTTCCACACCAATCTGCATTGATGATGTTCCCAGGCATGCCATTCTCCATGCAACTGTCCAGTCCGCCTGACAAACAAATCCCCGATGCTTCTTGCAAGTTAAAATGAAATCTCCAGCTTGCCTGCAAGTTGCCACCAGCTAACCGCCATCAATAAGCACAAAATGAAACCAGCATCTTCTGTCATTCCATTTACCACCAGAAATTTCTTCCATTTGTTCATAGTAGATCCACCACAAAAAGCACAAAATCACCCCAGGACAGCCTGCCAGCATGCCGTTCTGCTTTGGGCATACACTCATCACAACTCTACATCCCTGCACCACAAATCAATCTGTGCAAGGCCCCCAGCTAGCCTCCCACACATTCCCCACACTCATTACCGCCTAACGCACATCTTTCAAAGGGTCATTGCTGAGCTGGGTGCAGGCCAATGGCCCCTGGCTGTCCAACCATGGCAGGAGATGCTCCTGGCTGAGCTCCAGCTACCATGGGTGCATATCCACCAGGGCCACCTGGAGAGCCCACAATATATCCATTACCCATGTACTGACCCTGCCCAACTTGCGGCACCGCCGCATCACTGCTGGGAACGACTGATGGCGCCGACAGCGGGCCACCAGGGTAAAGTCCACGCCCGCTGGCAGGGCCACCATCTGATGCATGACTGGCTGCGAGCCGCTCACTCTCGGGCCCTTGGCTTCCGCTCGAGCTCAAACTCATGTTGTTCATCGACAGTGCAAGCGCCTCTAGGGTGGCCTGGCTTGTCTGCTTCAGAAGCTTCTTCTGCCTGTTGGCACCCTTCACCATGGGGGCAGCAGTTTCGGGTGGCAGGATGGGGAGAACTTGAGAGGCATCGGGCTGTTTGCCTGCGGGTCCGGGGGCAGCAGGGATGTGCCCAGCAACGGCCATCTTCTGAAGGTTCACTAGGGGGCTGTCTTTTGGGTTCAACCCATGCTTTCGTGCAAATGCATTGGACATTCGTGGAGCCGTCACACCTGCCCAATTGGAAGTGAATGATGAATCAGCAACCATATGCAGCATATTCTTCTGAACTGCATACTGTTGCTGTTCAGCACAATGCTTTCACAAGTAGGTAGGCACAAGAGGTAGGCACAAGACCACAAACCAGACTTTCAACAATCCGCAAGAGGCATAAAAGTGCAAAGACTGCTGCAGTATTCTGAGCTTCGCACACAACGGTCTGCCAACCATTAGCACAACACACGCTTGCCAAATTTGCAGCACACTGCACAATTTCAATGCAGTCACCTGTGACTCCTTCTGGCGCCTGTTGGCTTCCGTTCCCCACGGCCACCTCAGGAGCGTTGGGCGCATGCGGGCTTTGTGACGAAGAGACAGGGGTCCCCACGGGGGCTGACCTTGATGGGGCAAGCGTACCCGGGACCTGTGGTTGCATTGGCACTGCGACAGGTGGCAGGCTGATGTGCGCAGATATGGCTGGGCCCATGGGTGCTGAAGCCTGGTTGTGTGGCACAGGTCCACCTTGCACACTGCCACTGTGTGATCCCTGGGGAGCAGAGTTGCTGGGAGCCAACTGTCCATTTGGCACACATGCAACGTCCTGAATGAAACATGGAACCTTGCGCGTCAGCCTTGGACACATTCGAGTGCAAGTGACAAGCGAGTGGTGCACAGTCTCAAGAAGAGAAGGAGATCGCGTGGCAATTCCCAGTGAAGCAACAATGTTCTAAGAGTTATCTAATACAACTGGAGGTCTCGTTCATGTCTCTGCGAGAACACAAAATGTGCACAAATGCAAATGAAGAGCCAGCAAAATGTGTTCAGGGAAGCCCATGCAACTAGACGCAATTATCTTGAATCAGGTTAAATTGTATGACATATGCTATAGTCCTCAAAGTTGTGTGAGGATGAGCACAAAACCCTTCGTTGCCTTGTATGTGCCTGGTTTAAGATTTGCAAACGTTGTCAACAAAACGACCAGCGCACATTCCTCAGTGGAATCCAAACGAGGGGACACATCCACACGAATTTCCCTGCTCAGCTGCAGTTCCAACAGGCAACAACTTCCAACACTCAAGAAACCTCATCTGTTCTCTTCGGACAACTGGCTTGACAATACCATGCACAGCACTGAAACTGGCAGAATTACAAAATGCATCGACTGCAGCCAAAGCACCAGGCCCCTAGACGTTTTGACTGCCTTGCAAGCACTACCTCTGCTGTTGGCACCCATGTGTGTGAAGGAGTCCGAAGCTCTGGAAGGCTGTGGGCAAAAAAGCATACTGGGCGCCTGCACTTGTTGCCATCCTTGCAGAGCTGACTCCGGTATCTGAACAAAGAGATCAAGACAGGGCTGTCAAGGCAAGGAACCCGACCCCTCACATCTCAATCAGCTCTTTCTGGTCCTATACTGGCAATGCTGGCGCCATTTCAGCTGCCAGATTCATGGGTGTGGACATAGCAGAGGCACACCAGCAAGTGACAGAGACACCCATGCCTATTCATGCTTGGCCCATGTGATCTGACTACAGCAAGAAACACACCCCATAATCTGGGGTATGTAGGCCAAAACTTGATTTCCTGTATGTGGGGTGATAGATGGAATCGAAAACTGAAGTGAAAAGAAGAATAACTACCAGCAGACACTCCCATGGTCGATTTGTGGTGTAACAGATAATTCGTGTTCGAAATCTGCACGCCATATCCACTCACCTTGATGGATGCAGCCAACATTCAAAGACGCCATGGGCATAAGGGCACACATCCCCACGGATGCAGAATCCTTGCTTGTAGTTGGGACAGGCTATGCTGCAGTACCTGTAGTCTCGTGGGTCGCGGCGACGAGCATTCTCAGTGGGGTGGGCAAATGGACATGCCCGCCAGTCATGTGCATAGCGTCGACAACAGCGCAACACCTTCAATGGCAATACCAGCAGAATTGTGTTTAAGTGTGGCGATTGAATGTCTGCTCTGATGGGAAACTGCGTATCATAGAAAACATTCCCTATTCACCTCTTCCCTGGTTGGTCCATGATAGAGGGGTTCAAAAGAATCGAAGGGCCTTCAGGGCAACCGTCACGGCAGCGCAACCTTAGATTTGGTTATGCCATGCCTGTGGCAAGCCAGGATGTTCCTTCACAACCAATTCTGGACTGTGCAGAAAAATGTGGTGTGATGACAGGGCACCAACTAAATGGACAGCCTTAAGTTGGGTGATGCCATCCACTGGTGAGGCATTACAGTCCCAGCACGCACAAGACATTTTGTACAACAGTGGTCAGGCTCCCAATCAGCTTCGAATGACAGGCAAAAAAGGAGTGATTATCATACAATTGAAAACATAACAAACTGCATTTGATGACAATTTGTGCCCAAACATACCAGTGCTAACCTTGGTTGCCCCCAGAGCTCAGAATGAGGTGCATTTTATGAGCGAAACCACCACATTTACACATCACAAGGCATTTTGGGCCCCTCACCTTGAAACAATACATGCGAAACTCGTCTGTTGAGTACTCTGCCTTTGTGAGTTCCGAAGTGGAATAAGGCAAGACATCGGGGTTGTAAGGATCGGACCCAGACTCCTGCACAAAGCAGGACAGCCCGTTCGGAACACAGTTCAGAGGACTCTCAACAAGAAAAGTCACAGTTGCATCGATTTGCATTCGCACGGCAAAACAACGCCCCGTGCATTGAAGGCGACAATGGCGCATGCTCATCGACTGCTACATACAGTTTGGGGAGAATCATACTGTGGGTGAAAGTCAGTGGATTCGGAGAAAAAATTGTAACTGTTCCCTCGCACTGTCTCCACCACAACATGGGTGGGTAAGACCATGCTCGCAGCCTCACCTGTCTGCCCATTGGAACGCCCCAGACCGGCCCCCTGTAGTGGTGCTGTTGCTGCTGCTGCTGCTGCTGCATCTCCACCCCCTCCCCAGGCGGGCCCATGCCATCCATGCCAAAACTCCCCGACGGTGGCGGCTGGGCAAGGGGCGCCTTGGACACGTCCACTTGGCCCCTCAGGACTTGCAGGCTGCTCTCCGCGTCGCGCAGGTAGGCCACGATCGTGGGCGTGCTGGGATGGTTGCCAGCATAGGCCAACTGCAAGACAGCCGGCAGAAAGAATCAGCGAGCGAGCAGTGGCAACAACCTCCGCGCCTGCCGCATTTTTGCTCCTGCTGCCGTCACACCGAGTGACCTCTGCAACGGCAATGCGGAACTGCGGGAACAACTGCCGTGGACCTCAAGGAGGCATGGAGGCCCCGCGCGACCCTTCGCGTTCCTCTGTGAGAACAAGTCCAGGGAAACAGCCCACCGGGGGGCGGACGCGCTCCCAGACACAGCGCACAAGGCGCCCATCCAGCAACCAACGTGGCCTTCCAATCCCCCAGCCACCAAGTGTGCCCGCACACGAATACCGCAGGTTCATCCACGCAGGGCCTAACTGAACAGGCCCGGGCCACCAAGGCGGCAGAAGCATTCTGAGCTGCACCCGGGAGCAATTGACAAATCCGCGCGGCCTGTCGCGCCCGACAAAGGGAGGCGTCCACGATGGCTCGCCGGTCGCGCATCCGACATCGCGGCACCAGCGCAATGCCAGCGACAGCGATTGACGGTTCACAATCAAAGGCCCAACAAATCTGCCGCCGGGGTTCCTTGACCCTCGGCCGTCCGCGCTCGCAGGGAGCACCGACATATATCCCTCCCCGGCGCCAAGGACCGCCAGACTACAGCCTAACGCACTCATCCCTCCTAGCCGTTGACCTACCCCCACCCGACCACGCCAAGTTCCCATCTCACGCCCACAACTGAGCCAGTCCGCTCCAAATCCCTCCGCCCCAGCCCCGGCAGGCCAGATGCCCCGCCGGACGCGGCACAGCGCCATCCAGCCCCCCGCCCCGCCAAGCCCGACTCCAATCACGGCCTGTCCCGCGGCACGCCAAATCGACCCTGCAGCCCCCACCAGGGCATAATTCCCTCTCCAGAACCGGCCCCAACATTCTGCTCTTTCCTTCACACACACACACGCCCGCTGGGTTGCCCCACTGACTGGCCCTCCCCGGCCCCCCCCCGGCCCCCCGCCCCCCCTCCCTTCCCCACCTCCTGTAGTAACGACCGCGGGCCATCCTCACCTCGTAGGCCGTCATCCCGTCCGGTGAGACCACCGCCGGGTCTGCGCCGTTCACCGCCAGCAGCGACAGCACACGCATGCTCCCGTGGAACGCCGCGATCATAAGCAGCGTGCGCTGCTTCACCGTCACGGCGGGCTTCATGCCGCCCTCCCCGCCAGCCTCCTCCTTGCCGCCGCCGCCCTGCGGCTGCGAGCCCCAGTACAGCAGCACGTAGAAGGCATTCACCTTCGCCGAATCGGCCCCGATTTCCGCCTCAACGTGCGCGGCGTCGTCCTCAACTACTGCGCGGAAGAGCGCGCTGGACTCCGACAGCAGGGGCTCCCATGAAGCGGCCTGCTGTATGTAGTGCCCGAAGACGGAGTCCGAGCCGGAGACGGCGGACATGGTGGGGGGGGCGCGGGTGCTCGCGCGGGGGCGGGGGCGGGGGGGGGGAGGAGGGTTGGCCGACCGATGATGGGGGCAGGGCGTCGAACCGTAGAAGGAGAACGTCCGCGGAGGGGGGCCGCGGTGGCGATGCGGTGGGCCAACGCGGCGGGGCAAAAAAATGGGGGAAAAAAAATGGGGCGAACAAATAGCGGGGAAAGGAAAAAACTGGAGGTGGCGTTGCGGCGAAGTGCCGCAAAAATTTACTATTGTCGTGCGTGCAGCTCGTGACCTGCGTTTTCGGGCGGGGGGTGAGCTACTCAACTTGACCAGTTTCCCTCGCGCTGCTGCCGGGGCATCAAATAGAGCGTTGAGTTTGTCATAGCTGCCAGACGAGTCGCTTTGTGCCGTGTTCACCATTTGAAAACCATAAGCTGTGTTTTTGGCTCCATCGTGTCCTTTCCACAAGCTGGCACGTCCCACTAATTCTTTGCTAGCCTGACATCGTGACCCACCTGTGTTGTTCGCATGCTGTTGGTGCTGTTAACATTCCTGTGGTGTCTTTTGTGTTCTTGATGTGCGCTGCATGGAATATACGCGTCGAAGCTTTCAACATGCCGCCGCCCGTGTCCGGCAACTGCGCCACCATTCTACTATTGGTAGACCTCACAACTTGCGCTTAAAGCACAATCAAACTCGTTCGCCATTCACCTCAACAGTGGCACTGTTCCGCAAATATGTCCAGAGGCGATGCGGATTTGCAACCAGCACACGCCGGCCACCAAAAGCTGCGCCCCTTGCCTTCTGCGCTACCACTTTCTCACCTGCTCCCAGCCCTGGCATGCTGTGCACTGGCGCGTTCCATTCGCTCATGCAGAGCCCTTCTCCTTCACCAGATTTCCATTGTGCCGACTGACAGCAAGATGTGCATGCATGTCGCAGTTTACCTGCGCTCTAGAGCGCTGATTGTGCCCCTCTCTTCCTCCCACTTCCACCCAGCTTCCTTTCAGACCCAGTGGCTCCAACAGCAACGCCCTGCTGGCCACAGGGGCGCAGCCACCATCACCGACCCATCCATTCAACACCATGGACGCCAACATCGCCTGATAGGTCCAGGGTGCTGTTCTGTTGCATTGCCCACAACTGCAATCAACGTGGGCCTCCAACATGGGGCTCCCCATCAGCCTCCCTGCAGCTGCCGTGCTCTTCGGCACCCCCTGAGGCCGTCCCTCCCACCCTTCGCACTCACCAACCCATGCAGCGCCCCGTTTCGCGCCCAACACCGCCCCAAAGGCGCAACAGGCCAGCGATTCGTCCCTTCCCCGACAAAATCAGTCAACGGCCATTCAACTTTCTCTGTGGTCATCTTTTTTGCTCAGGCCTCGCCATTGCTCTGCGGCGCCACCGCGTCCCCCATGCCGAACCCAAACGGCCCCCTGCCCTGTGAGCCCATGTGCTCGCCACCCGGGCCCGAAGGCACGCCGTACATGGGCCCCACGGGCGGCGCCACGCCTGCGATGTTGCACGGCAAATTGGCGTACAAACTCGGTGGCGCCATGAAACTCAACTCCCCGCCCGATCTCGGACATCCCTCGAACTCCCCATCCCCCACCCCCGCCACCAGGCCGCCCGCCCCCATCCCCAGGTCCCTGGGGCCTAGCCCGACCTCCTCGGCTCGCCCCTGGTGGTTGCCCACGTCAGCAGGCCCGATGTTTGCGTCATTTATGTCGTCGTCACAGCCTCGATTCGTCATCGCGTCATGGGAGGTGGTAATCAGGTCGGGGTTGCAGTCCCGGGGCCCCAGGAGGGGGCGGGAGTCCTGGGGGGTGGGACCGAGGGAGGCATGTTTGGACCCCTGCTTGGAGGACGATGCGCGGCGCCTGGAGCCGATCCCGTCCTTCGACGAGGACTGCTTCTTCATGACGGCCGCGTGGGCACGCAGCTCCTTGGCCAGCTGGTCGATCGTCGTGGACTCCAGGTGGGGAAGCTGGTCAGCGTAGCACTCGGTGGGGAAGTTGGTCCTCGCCTTGTCCTTGCCCTGGGCAGCAGATACAATTTTCACACTTACACGTACATTTTACAGATATTACACATACGCATGCAATTTACACATACATTTGTCTAAGGTCTACAAAAAATGCATGTTGACGATTCTCCCTGATCAGGACGGGAGGAGGCGATCAGGAGTTGTTTTATGGGTGCAACAGGGCGCTTCCTGCTGGTCCCCTTGGGGCACGCCCTCCCCAGGAGAGCAGAGAATGATGCAACAAAAGATGGTGCTTAAGAGCAAAGCCCAAATATGCACTCAGCATCACGTGAGTCCGACCTGGCAAGTTCCACAGCTCACTGCCGTAGTTCTGCCATCCGTCTTTCAACAAACAATGTGTTCAATCATGTGCACTGTCTACCCCAATTCTCCAACATATATACAGTCTGTCGCCAAAATAACGTTTGCCAATTTATGACACAGCACTACCTTCCACTTGCAATACAATTATGGGCCTGACCCAAAACAGCCTGGTTCTCTCCTGGGCAGCATCCAATGCTCCTGACATGGGAAATGAGATTCTTTCTGGAACAAGTGTCAAGAATGGAACTGCACTCGCCACTGTGTTGGGAGGCACAACAGTGCAGATTTGTCATTTCTTGACAGATAGCACAAAGGACTGGCAGTGCCCGATCCATCTGGGACAAACAGCCCAAGGGGTTGTGCCAGTGCGCCCACCTTTGCACATATGGCCGCTTGGTCGAAAGCCCTGGCGGCTATCGTCTCTTCATCGTACACACCCAGGTACAACGTCCCGTGACCGAGAACAGATATCTGAGCACGCCAACGGCCACTCTTGTCCTGAACAACGCCACGAAACTGTGACGGATTCACGCTCTTGGGAGCCCGTGTCTTTCCAAGGGCTTGCGTCCGCAATTCCTCCACAAGTTGATCCAGAGGTGCACTTTCGATGTGGTCCAAGATGTGGGCATAAGTAGACAAGGGAAAGTTCAGTTGGGTCTCCCTGCCATAGACCTTGATTGCTGCTTGGTCGTAGGCATGTGCGGCCATCTCTTGGTCAGAATAGAAGCCCAAATAAACCTGCGAATGCAAAAAGCTTATGCTAACATTGATGGTGCCCGCAGAATTGACACATAGTTTGCGCCTTCAGTCCAGTCCAAGAAGCCACGCGAAGTAAGCATAAGGGCCAGCGAGCCAGCTGCCACTCCAATCAGTTGTCTCTCAGTGGGCAAACCAAACCGTTGCGACATACAGGCAAGACTTTGTCCCTGGATGTGGATTCCCATCTGGACATGGCTGGCAAACTGGTGATAGAACACTAAACAGCTACATCACACCACCCTCCATTCAAGTATCAGTCAATGGACATGAATGCAAGTATGCAAAGATGCACAGATCGCAAGCATCAACACACCTGCCGCCTGTTGTGCTTGACTTGTGATATCCATTTGCCTGTCTGCTTGTGGCCACTCACGCCTCGGTATGGTGAGGACCTCTTTGTAGGGCAACTGTCTATTTTGGTATCTACCACAGTTTCTGGCAAATTGCACACAAAGCACACAATATAAGGCCCTTTAATCCCTTTGCAGCAGCATCAAAGCCGACCCACATGCAGAACTGCAGACAAGCCATTGCAGACGTGTTACTGGCTAGGATGGCAATCCAACTAGTTGGTGTTATGCACAGTCCATGCCAACATGTCTTTTTGAGTGGGGAATCAGTGAACGAGGACAACATAAGTGCACACGAAATAGCAGAAGAGTTTTCCAAAACCCTCACAAGGGAAACCATAGACCCCAACAGATAAATTTGCCCTATCCTGGTCACAAATATGAGTGTCAATATACCAATAGCAAAGATGTGTACAGGTCAAAACAAAGGCAGCCTCTCCCAGGCACAGCTGCTCAATGTGTGCTGCTTGGATACAGCTGAATTTCTTGGAGTTAGGCAAAAGACACCTTCCATGATGTGAAGCTCATTTGGGGATGGATGCCAACTGAGAGTTCTGCAGCCAAGGTCACATTTCTGCGCACTGCCATGGATCGAGCAATGGGCCACAGATTTCACTGAACAAAAAATTCACAAGGGAGCTAAGGAAACCGATATGTTCTGCAATTAATAAAGAATGCTGAGAAACAGTGATGCTCTTACCTGGCTCCCCTTTCATTTCCCGAATCGCAGTGAGAAGGTCCCTTGCTAACAGTTTGTCACAAATTGGATAGTCTGTCAGGGGAAAGTTCAGCCCTTTCAAGACAGCCTCTTCCCTGCCCCATCTGAAAATCAGGGCACGATCGTAGGCACGTGCAGACTCCTCCTCTGTGTCATATGTCCCAAGGTGGTGTTCTGCGCCTGTGCCCCACACCAACAACACCAGTCAGACAAAGCAGATCAACACATGAGCAGACATGCAAGCAGATGTGGACACGACATGATGCACTGCAGGTTTCCAAACTCGGATGTGAGGATCGCAATTGGTGAATACCAGTTTGCATGACCCCAAAACAAGGCAGTTGAAACACTGCAGGCCTTTGCTCAACTGTTCTGCAAACAGTCCCCTGTTGACAGCGCAGCATCTTAAGGCGACATTAAGGCCAAAGTAACCAAGGTTATGAATAACTGTGCCAGTTTGCAATCGAATAGATTTCGGCATAAAAACTAAGGTTTCCAGGCTTCCGATTCCACAGGTAGTCACATGTGAAGCTGTTGATGGCAGTCACAGCAGAGCACTTGTCAGGTATTAAGTGCTTGATACTGGGTTTTCACTGCACAAAGAAACTCACCATCAAACACAAGCACCGCATCCCATCTCCTCAAAGGTTTTTGCCTGAACACCCCGTTGAACTTGGCCGACTTCACCTACAACAGACACAAAAAAAATCTTGAGCAATAGGAGAGAAGTCCTCCAACAACAACAATGCTCTCTTAGGCTCTCAGGGGCGTTGCATCGCGCTGTGTTGTCTTGCAGGGTGGTCAAAGACCAGCACATGCTGTGTACTTGCTTTGTACGATGACATGGCTGGGACGACACATGAGCTCCTAAACTCGACCGAAAACTAAGATACAAGACAAGAAAGCCATGCAATTGCCCAACTCTCAACAGAAATCCGTTGTACAGCTTGTCAGATATCAAGGATATTGCTTGGAACATGGGCAGCACAAATTAATTGGGAGGGTTGTGGAAATCCACCCGAATGCATTAAATAGGAAAATAGCAACACCCCTGAACCCACTAGGCGATATTGGAACTTGTTCACATGCACATACTCCAAATGTGTTCCGTTTCGTTCCTGTGATGATGGCCATCGTTGCCCTGTGGGTGCAAGACAGTGATTGATCTACAGGAACAATGTACCCAAAGCAGTGTTCTGCCCACGAATTGGCTGGCCTGCATTTTCTTGGACTGAGGCAGATTGGAAATGCTCATCCTTGAAGGCAACCATGCTCACTGCAGAATTGAACAACAGCATAAACTACCTCTGTTCCAAAAGTCTTGTCCATTATCCAATCTTGCTCAAACTTGAAAAGATCAGCCCACTTAGCAAATCTGTTGCCAGATTAGGATTCCTTGGTCGATTATGGGTTGGTATGGATCTCGGTTACTTCAATCACTACTATATAGCAAGACATATACAACCTTATGAAAAGTGCCCTGTCTGCTTGTGTCAGGGCGTCTACTCCTCGCATTTTGGTGCTCACCTTATCCCGTTGTGTTCCAACCTATTTCCCACACATTCTTCAATAACCTTGTTGTAGACAACAAATGAGCGTTACTACACCCTTTCAAGAATTTTGACATCACAAATGTCATACTCTTTGTGGATCATCTCTTCCACTATGCTAAATCGTGTTTCAAAAACTCTCTATTTCAAATATTGGCCATGTTGGCAACAGCTTATGCCATCTTTTTTGGTTAGCATCACCATGCACGGTTTTCCAGACCTTTTGCGCATCTACCAGGTTGAGGCTCTTGCCCAGAACAAGGTGTCCCTTGGCCTTTGGCCTCAACAATGATAGAACAGTACTTGTCAACACTCTCAACTCCACGGCCAAAAAACAACATTTGCATTGCGGATTCCAATCGGAATCTAGCCGCATCTTTTGTGAATACCTAGCCACCAAATCACACATCCCTCCTAGGGGTAGTTCAGCTTGATCCACCTCCATGGAAGGGCAATACAAGTGGGCATACCCCGCTCTAGGTCCAGACGGAAGGAAAAGTGGCATCTGTGCTCCTCTTTACATATCTCAAGAATGCCAACAGCCTTGTCCATGCTGAACAGCTCAGCTGATAGATATTGATATTGCGCATCGAAGTTGTTTCAGTCAAATTTTTTGATTTGCACGTTTTGACCGCTGTTTGAGCGATTTAGATAATGGACAAGACTTTTGGAACAGAGCTAGTAGGATGTGGTTTGTTTTAGCTGCAACAACAGTGTCTTGACTTGTGAAGGAATTACCATTCCGATCGGTCTGTACTCCTTATTTGGAGACGGTTCAATGCCTTGATCCTCTAGCCTTCCGCGTTTGCCATCTGGCTCATCCACAAACAGCCCATTGACATCCTGCCGTGATCGCTTCATAGCCATTCCTTGACTTCCTACCACAGGCGTTGGACACACAGGGATTGATTCAAACACTGGCCATCTTTTCAACAGAAATCTAATGACCTTCCAATAATGTGGAGGGGTTCTTCAAACTTGCCATTCACGTGGCTCATGATGTGCCTGGACACACAACAATGGGCCCCAAGCCTGTGCATTGCAGCGGTGGCCTAACTTTCAGTAAGGTAACACAAGGGCAGCTGTGACTTGCGCACGTTGCCGGCAGTGGAAAAGCACATTCCTTGGAGCTGCTTGGCCCATGCATTCAGCACCCACAGGACATGATACCGTGTTGCTACAAGCACCCCACAAATACCACACACTTCTGATGGGATGGGATCCAAACTGAAATGCAAGCTCAACAATTCGCAATGCTGTACAGATTGCCCCAGGGCACACACAATTCCAAAACTACAGATACAGGCAGCAATTGCTCGCACCTGATGTAAAGGTCATCCCCGGAGACAAGAGCTGGTGGTAGTACTTTGGCTGCATCGGCACAGCAGGCAAGTATGGTGCCCCATGCCCGCCTGCGATTATGGGGTGCTGCATCTCTATGACATCTGTAGATGACAGTGGAATTGACCTGCCCCCTTCCGTGGGCGATCCAAGCAGCCCATACACAGAGTAGTCCCTCAAGAGCGCCTCGTCATTCTCTATTTGTGCTGATGGTTCCGATGGACATTGCCCCATGTCCACAAGTGCGCCCAAGGAGATGGGTGTTAGGTCAGATTTTCTGGGGAAAAGGTCGCCATTGTCCCCAGCAGCCGTGTGTGAGGTGCCCAAACTGGGTGCCAAACCAATAGGCTCTTCAGAGGCCCTGCAGCGCTGCTGAGCGTAGTGCTCAGGGCCCTCATGAAAGTTCCCAGAATGGCAGCCAAGGTGTTGCGTTCGCATGTCCATGGTCTCTGGCTCGGAGGTGGGGGCAAATAGAGCATCAATGTGTTCACCGTCCATGGGCATGGAGGAAACAAGCGAGCAAGCTTTGGCATCTGAGTATGCCACCATGGGCTGGGTTGCCACGGAATGAGTGGTCAACATTTCCTCTGGGTATAACGATGACTGTGAGGGGGGCACCTGGGCCACCTTGCAAGCAGACTTGAGGGTTGCAGAGTCAGGAGAGACGCTGCGAAGCAGCAAGGGCACATCTGTTGTTGGTGTGCTGACAGCAGTGCTGATATCTTCCCTCAGCGCCTCGACCTCCTGGTTACCATCTGTGCCCATTCCATCTGCTCACAGGCAAGAATGAATGACATCCAGCAAAGCAATAAGAAAATCAACACATTGGTCATGGCAAACATTTCTGCTAAGTTCAGATATTTGGAGAGCATCAGGCTTCCTGGCAGTGCACAGGCCCCTCACAGTGCTTGGTGAAGGAACACCCAAACTCCCCACATCATAATCCTCGTCACAGGATTACACTGTTGAATCTGTGCTTTCCACGTGTCTGACATTTCAGTTTTCAGCTGTTTCACTTTATCCAATAAAATTCCTGGTTATGGGTGCATTGGAGGCTTACTAACAGGTGGAGGTAGGGCAGAATTCTGTTTGTTTCTGATGAAGTACAGCGTGATGCACTCTGAAGCTGAAACTGGGTCACTACCTCTCACAACAAAGAAGGCAATTCATATGACTGAAGTTCCCCTCCAAAAAGCGCACGAGTGAGACTCTTTTTCTTGCCGTTGCAAGTATGTGGGGACTCCTGAGTGCTTCAGGGGAAGAGCGTTCAACAATGGCTGCCAGGGTTGACAGCAACCACAAATGGGAGGCATGCAATGTGGAGTCCCTCAAGTATGTGGCAATCTTCGACACGCACAGAACCTGTTTCTTTTAGGACACGCTTCAGCCCTGGTGCTCAAGATGTGCCTTGTACACAAGGCGGTGGGCATCAATTGCCATGCACGGAGTGCCCTCCATGCCATCTTCACAGTGTCCATGATACACTATGGGTTAAGGCAAAGTTTGTCACTTTTTGAACAAATGAAAAGAACTAGAGGACTGGCACATCGAGGAACTGCCATCACCATGGGATAACCGCTGCTGGCAGATGGAGCACTGGCCTCTGGTCTGGACGCGTCAGTATGCTTGCCTAAGATGCGCTCTGCCAATCAGCATACCTCGAATTGGGAGTGGGGAGCCCTTCGCAGGCGGAATGCCTTCAACGTTTTCTCCCTCAGTCTCACCAGGCGCCAGAGACAGTTCGTCGACCTGGCAACGCAAACGGACCAGTCAGGGACCACCTCGAGGTATGATGTCGCGACGAAGCAAAAACTACCTACTCGGTGCCGGCTGGCAGCCTCAACTGCAAACGCAGCAGCCTGGGAGGAGCCTGATTCGCCCCGTGAACGGTGCCACAGCTGACGCACCCTGACCCTACTCCATGGACAAAAATGGTCGCGTGTCTTCCACTGGCATCCCTTTCTGGATGCAGCCAACCACCGGCTCGCGAGGGCAGAGCCAGTGGGCCCCGTGCCGCCGTGATCGCCGTGGAACCACGACCGCCAATCACGTCTCCGCGCGACGACCACCGCCGCGCCTGAAGACCAACGGGCAAGCCCACAACGCGACGCGGCGCGCGAGCCGCCAAGCCGCCGGTGCAGCATCGCCAGAAAAAAGCCCCTTGCCCCGGGCGCCCATCTCCCTGCACCGCCCTCCCCCGTCCCAATCCCCAGCCGTTCCCCCATGCCACCAGGCACGTCACACATGCGGGCCTCGCCACACCCGCGGAACCCGGCCGATCGCCGAGCGCAGACCAAGGTACTGCGACCAAGCCCCCTGTGAAAAGCCCCGAAGCAGCAAACACGGGGAAGAAAACAAATTCGACCTGCCACAGAGGGACTCCACACGGCGCACTTGCCGACCTTGCGCGGGTTCGATTCGGCCGGATGCTCGGCGCGGCCCTCCGCCGACATCTGCTGTCCCAAGCCGCCGCGGCGCACGGTGCTGCGCTCTCGCCCACCCTCCGTGTCCACCGGCCCAAGACGCACAGGCAGCGAGCTGGGGCGTCTGGCGGGAGCCCAGGGCGGTGGCCCGGCCAGAGCGGTATAAAAGAAGCGCGCTCGGAGGCGGAGGCCGTGGGAGGTGATGCGGGAGACGAAAGAAACGCGCGCGGAGGCGGCTGGAAAATTGCGGGGCGGCGCAGATAAAAAACCAGAGGGGGGCGTGACGGTGGTGCTGTGAGGCAGATCCCGGACGGGAATATACCAATTTTGGGCATTTTTGCGCTAACGGTCAATCAAATGCGCCGTCCGAAGAATGAGGGGAGAGGGACGGCGTGGGGTGTTCTCGCCGGTGGTGTGTGTGTTGCCTGACTCGCAGTGGTCGGTGTTGGCCGTCCAACACCGCGCCTTCCCGCACTGTGGGCATACGCCTTTTCGCACTGCGAGAATGTGCAACTTCTAGGTTGCCAGGAGCCATTGTGAAATTACCTGCACGCCAAGCTTTTACGCCACTTTTCTAACCGTGGTGTTGGAGCGATGGGGCAGGAGCCCCGGGACAGTTCAGGGCGTGCGCACACTGGAGCGCATTCGGGTGTCAGCATAAGGGGTCACTGTTTTACTCAGGAACCGCCCAGAAACTTAAGCGATAAGTGCAGATGGAAAATTAAGCCTGCCATCATCCAGCCATTGAGGACAGAAGCTCGCAATCAGAACGCACAGACTTCTCCAGACCCAACCGTCAATGCTTAGTGAGTGGACAAACTTCGATGTCACGGCCATCGGAAATGTTTTGGAATGGATGCTGATGAACGCCAGCGCTGGAAATGAGGTTGACGACTTAAGGTAACGGTTTTCTGCCAAGGGGAACGAGGTTGGGCGCTTAGGATGCGCCAGGCTCTCTGTGCGGTGTGGGCAGCCGAGCATGTTCCTGCAAGCTGGCATCCAAGGCAGATTGTACCTTCTTGTGCACGGGCTGCATTGGAGCGCGGGTCAATGGATCTGTTGGAGTTTTGGCACGAGTTTCATCAAGGGCCAAGGCTTAACTCCTGATGGGGCGCCCCTTTGCGGGCATTCTCGGTTGGTGGGCGGCCTGTGTACTTGAGGGGTGACCAAAAACCGCCACCTATCTTGTTTTCCTCCAACCCGTTCATCCCTTGGAGATTGAGCTCGGTATTGAGATTAAGCGAAGTGTGAAGCAGCGGGACTTAGCGCTTCGGATTGTGTCGCCAAGCTTTGGGCAAGTTGTGTGGCACGGGCATGGACGTTGTGACGCGGAACAATGAGGACACTCCTTTAGTACACTTGGCCAGTGTGCATGTCGGGTGGGAAGAGGATGCCGCCAAGCGCGAATTGCACGATGACAAAGCAAAACGCAATGGGTGAAAGCCATCACCTCCACTTTCAATGACCATGTTCTCATCATCAGGACGGAATCCTTCTCACCGCGCCAATACAAGCGGACCGCAAAGAGCCCAGACGCTGCCCTCCGCCTTCCCGCCAGAGTCGGAAGCCAACGCTCAGGCCGCGGAATCCTCAGCCCGCGCATGGACGCCGATCAAAGCGCCCACCAGGCAGGCCACCTGGAGTTCCTGCAGGCCGTCCAGCAGCAGCTGGAGTCGATGTGTCTGGACAGCGGCGCGGACGTGCCGCGCGGGGCCCGCTGGTCCACAGGGCCCTGCACGCGAACCGACTGGGAGCCTTCCGGCACTGGCAGCGCGCAGTTCGCGCCGGGGACCCCCCCAGAGAGCTTTGAAGACAGCGTGATGCTTGAGAATGAACGCGACAGCCAAGGTGCGCCTCAGTGGACACATAGAAAGAGCCCTCGCATACACTTCCTCACGAGGGGATGCCCTTTGTGTGACCTGTTTCCTTCCTCTCTGTAAGAAATCTTAACCCCCTTCCCCCTCTCAACCTCTCTCTGGTCGTTCCAAGAGCGCCAGTTCACAACGAATCAGCGACATCTCTAGGGGCGACTCCGAGCTGCGCATCGCGCGCCCCGGCGTGGGGCGCTACGGGTTCGGAGGCGTCCTGTGCGTGGCCATCGCCTGATGAAACGCCCGGCAGTTCTTGGACTACTCCGCCCGCTTCGCACCATCGGAATTGGACACAAGGAGGCAAGGCAAGCTGACAGAGCACGCGGGAAGCCTGAAGATTGTTGCAGGCTGGTTTTCCCTCGCATTTCCTGGCTTGCCTTTGTTTTGCACTGCCTGTCAGTATACATCGCCGCCTGGCATAATCTCATTCTCAGATGCACACGTTGTCTGAACCGGGTCTTGCTGGAAGGTGCGGGATCTGCGGGCCACTCGCGTCTGTGCCACAGTTTGCATCTCCCATTGTCAAAAGTGAGCTTTCTATGTTTGGGGGGCCTTGGGAAGGCCCTCAACACTGTGTTCCAACACTTGACTATCCAGGGGGAAAGTTCTACAAATACGGTGAAGGAATAGGGTGGTTGCAACTCCAAGATTGCATGTACTTCCCACATTATTGCCCAAGAAACATAGCTGGACGTGGCTGCAGCTTGCCCTGTCAAATATGCGGCACTGAGCTGCGAAAACCAGTGCTGATTGACGCCCTAACAAATGGCTGCCATCACCATTGTTGGGTATCATGTATCACGCCAGAAGGTTTGGCTTCCCGCAACAGGCAACAAGTCAGAAATTAAGTGCTGTTAGTGGGACACCCATTTTTCAGCACTCAGCAGACAAACATGAACAATGTATCGATTTCCACGTTCCTTTCAACAGTAATTCAGTAATTCATTCAAGCCCATTTTTCGATGCAGATCTTTGAAATGCGTACCATTCATGTGTACGACGACCGGTGGCCCGCTGCAGGCTTTCATGAAACGCATCGGTGGCCATCGTATGAGAGCAATGTGTCCAGCCCTGCTGCCTTGCAGGCCTCCATCATCAGGGTGTTCAGCCTGTCTCAGGGCTTTGAACTGTTGCTGAAGACAGGGCAGTCCTGGTCACCTTTATGTGCAGCGGAGAGCCTCCCAGCTGAGCCTGTCCTGTGGGTGGCCATCCGCAGACGTTGCCAAGCCAGCAGCATGGATGACATGCAGGAAGGGCCATAAATCGTGGGCTGCAGGACGCTTGACCAGGTCACCAGATTTTATGCAGCTGTCCAGGGTTACAAACATGACATCAGCAGGGCCTGCCATACACCAACAAGGCAATACCAACGGCAACAGGTGCATTCACTGCAAAGCCAGCCCAGGGAAAAGACAATAAAGACTGCTAGGACGCACAATTTCGCTCAGACAAGACAACCGTTCTTGCAGACAGTATTTTGAATTGGAGCTGCATCATCTGCAAATGTAGTACCACATGTTTGCCATCTACACGAGAAGCCTGTTGTGGAATGCCCAGAGACAGTAGCAATGTGCTGTTACTATGGGCTGTCAATTGAATATATGGCCACGTCTTCAGCTTGCTGGCTATCAGCAGCATCGGTACCAGTAGTTGCCGTGGGTTGTTCTTCGTCAAGACAGCACCTCCTGCCACTCTTACCCAATGACCTTGCCAGCAGTGCACGATTGTCTGGACTCCGTGCCCAAACCAGCCTTGCCATCCTTGTTACCTGCATCGTTTAAGATATGCAAGAGCAAGGTGCTTCATCCTTAATACAAAGCCAAGTTTTATGAATATTTTCGGTGCCACTGAACAAACAATGCGATAGCATCAGCAACACTAATCTGGAATTCATGCCCAACATAGCCTCTAAGGTGCAAGGGCAGTGTTTTGTCATGTTTATGTGGCAAATGTAATGAAAGGATTTGATTCGTTGCCACCCACACATTGCAAAACATGAAGGAACTCATGACAGAATGTGCCTCAATCAGCACTTGGTCGCATTCCCCCTCTGTGGACATCATCTGCGTCCACAATCCGAACAAATGCTTGTGAGGCAGCTAGTTTTTGCGAATGGGTTGAGATGACAAAATGCATTGGACCGAACGTTGTGGATGGCCATAAGCCTGGCACCGTCTTGACTCCAACTAAAGAACAGACAATAACGAATGGCCATGCCTTGGCACCTTATACCCACATTGAATCTATATTTTGCATAGCATGCACCAGGCCCCAGCATGTGATTCATTCATGCTCGCGTTCGTCTATCATCTTTTCTTGTCACCTGTTGTTGCCAAGCCAATTGTACATGATAGTTTTTGCAGCAGTAGAGAAAGACACAGATAAAAGACGTGGCACGGAAATATTGGATTCACATGTAACGCTACATTGCATTTCGTTGGTGCGATAGTGAATTGACTATTTCATAACTCCTGTGGTACATACAAATCGAACCCATCTCAAGTTTGCGTTCTTTCGTCGTTTTGTCTGACAGCCCCAATTCATTTGGGTTTCCCTCAACCAAGCGAAACGATCAGATTGCCTCTCATCTAATCATAAAGACACACTGAGCAATCGGCAACCTTGTTTCTGCCATTTCTGCCATGGTCTCCAGCAATCAACAACCCCGAACCTTCAAGAAATGTTCCCTGAAGGATTTGTCTTGCTTCACCTCGGTCGCACAGAATCGATTTCCCCTGGCAAAAGAAGCAGCAACCAGCAGTTCGTCTCGGTGTGTTCCTCCTTTACCTGACTTGCCTGATCAACAGTCCTTTTCACACCAAGTCATTTCTTCCACAGGTGGCTGCCTCTGTCTCCGTCGATACTCTCCTCATGTTCAATACCTCATTCATGTCAATTCCACTGGTTAACCCAGTCCTCACCTTGCGAAACTGAGATTGCCAAACTAGGATCCCCACAGTGTGGGTGCTCTTAGCGGCCAGGTCCCGAAGCAAGGCTGCAAACCTAAAGCTCATGCTGCGTCAATGGGACAGCCATACCACAACATGACCAACCAGGTTTCCTTCGTTATGGATTGCATTCTTACTTAGCACAGGCTCTTTGTTGAAGCAATCCACTTGGTGTCTCACCGCCTGCACACTTCCTGGCGTTCACACTCATGGGCCGTAGCTGCTACATTTTGATTTCCATTTATCTCGCCGGACCACACTGACCTGGGCAAATACGGGGATAAACTGGTATACAGACCCTTCTACATACCTGTACAGGTACACATACGGGCCTGTATACCATGCGTGCGCCACGGCTTGTACGCACATGGCCGGTATGGGTGCTTGCAAGTGTGCACCCGTTACTTTTGGGGGCTTAACTGACAGTATTCCGTGACCAGGTCATGGTCTAGAAGGGGAGGGCTTCTGAAGTACGGAACAATCATCTTGGTACATGTATGTGTTGAGGACTCAGCGAGTTTCCCTGTTGTCTATTTGGACAAGATGCTGCCGGCGGGAACGATCGCAATCATAAACGAATATGGCAATTGCCTCTCCCAGCGGGAGTTATTGATCGGGTGTCCACAACTTTTGCTCTTTTTGGTTTTTATTTGTTTTCGCTTCCACGAGCTTTCAGTGCATTCGACGAGACGCAGAAAACTTTCCTAATAACACTTTATGGGTAGAACATCGTCAACTCAACAGGATGCAGCGATGAGCTCTGATGCTACGACGCATGTCCGCGTAATTATCAAGCACCATCAATGCATTATAATTGCGTCATCCAACTCGGATGATCCAGACAACAGCCCACAACTTCGCGTGGCCTTGGCATAGATGCATCGCCAAATTTTCATGATCCATCAGCGGTTCTAAGTCAGTCCTAAACCAGTGAAGTGTATGCAATTTCCTGAGACTGACATGCAGATGCGAAGCCCACAGACCGTTACGAATGGCAGAATAAAACGGTGCGTCCTGAACGTCCCTTGGTGCGTACCGCAAGACCCCCTGAATGGTGCCAGGGTTACGTCAGTCCACATTTGGGAATGTGTCCCCAGTCACTACCTGCCATAAAGTGTCAGAAATCTGACATATTTTTGTAGACCATCTGGCGGTCATCTTGACAAAATTTGGGTCATTTTATCATTCCCACGCCGCTGACGTACAGCGGTATTATGTTCATCCAATCTCTGTGTGCCAAAAATCCATATCATGCCGCAGCGTTGTATGATATGGCAATGTTCTTCACAGTAAGGAGCATGTGTAGCCCCAGTACAATGTTGTTCTGCTGTTTCCTGGCCAGCGTATCGCCCGCCTGCCCTTTTGGTATCAGCACATATCGTTGTCAATAATAGGCGCATATCAAGATTACTATGTGCATCAGCGTTGCACCTGCCCTGCATAGAGGAAAAGTACGTAGTTTTCTTGCCACTTTTTGCTCGTCATAATTGCGGAGATTGAGGTCTTGGTGCTGATTTCTATGGATTCCTTCGAGTGTTCCGCTAAATTTAGGTATTAGAATCCTTTGCAAAGTAAGCGCCCTGTTATTTTACCATTTCCCATGCATCGCATTCATGGGCATGGCCAAGCAGGCAACACGAGCTTTGGCAACAAACAGGATCACCGTTGTGGTGGTTGGTTTTTCGCTTCAGAGCGGCAACTTTGCACCCAGCTGCCTGGCGCTCCGTATCGATGTGCTAGCCGCCAGCCAAAGATTCCTGCCACGATTTCGGTCTGGCACTGCACAAGCATGGGTCGCTTTCGGAAATTACAAACGCGCCACACAACGCCATCCATGGTTCATTTTCACACGTGCATATATTCTGCGGTGGGTTTTTGTCGGTTGGATGGGTCCTTAAGGTGACCCTTTTGGGTTGGACTACCCTCTTCTTCACCCCTGGCGGGGTGGTTGGGTAGAGCACGGGGACATCCCATCAGTGGTACCCGGCTCAATCCCCAGTCACACATCCTCTTCACCATCCGCACTAAAACAGAGTTGTTCGTTTTCCTGTTCCTCATTCGTTTTAATGCGGCTATTAGCGTTCGTGCCACGCGCCCCCCACGCCAACAAACCTCCCCACCTTCCGACAAGCAAAAACCCCTCGCCCCCTTCCCGTTGGCCACCGCCCTTCCCCCTTGCGGCCGTCGAAGCTGCTGCGCACCGATTACACAAAATGACGCCCCCCGGCGGCTTGATGACGCGGGGAACCGCGGCCTGTGACCGCCCCCCCCCGGCGGACGCACTGGATCTACACGCTGCTCTTCCCGCTTTCCAGCGGGCCCCCCCAACACGCAAAACAGTCGGAGACGCTCTGTAATAAGCTGTCTGCCCACTCAGCGCCTCAGCGAGTGCCCTGGGCTGCACGACGCCGCCCCTCGCGAACGCAGCACCCCAGAAAAGCGAAATCATGGCCAGCGGAAGCCAGGGCGCGGGGGGCAGGGTCCTCAGGCTGGACGTCGGCGGCCGGGTGTTCGAGCTGAGCCAGGAGATGCTGGCTCGGTTCCCCAAGTCGCAGTTCAGCGTGATGTGCCAGGACTGCCCAGATGCCTTCACGCGCGAGGCGCCCCTGCCCATAGCGCGCAGCGGCAAGGGCTTCGAGGTGATCGTGGAGATCTTCAGGTGGGAGCGCTGTGGCGGAATTGTTGGCCAGTCCATGGATGGCGGTTCACGGGGACGCGGATGCTGAGAAAATGGAAGCGAAACGGCGGGCAGGCCTGGCGCGCGCCTTTGCGCTGTGTCTGGGCGGTTTTCGGGGTAGAGTGCGGTGCCGTGCACCGGCGTGAGCCAGATGGGCGCTTTTCGTGCCGACAAGAGCGGGCATCGGATTTGCAGTCGGGTGCAATGGCCAGGCGGAGCGGTCGGTGTGCGCGCTGCAGCAGGCGCAGCACAGGGCTTGAGCCTTGTTGCCTGTTGGGAAACGGTCTGCGGCTGACACGTGGTGGCCGGAATGCGATGGCGCGCGCTGTGTGCGGTGCCGAAGGTTCGGGACGCGGCGTTTTCGCACAATTGTGGGGAGCTGACCGCCAAGTTTGTGGTGCAAAAGAGCGGTGGTCGTGATGCAATGTAAAAGTGCGAAAATCCAAGAGTGGCCCACCAGCGTGGGCTGTTGCACCACGCTGGCTGCCGACAATTTGGAGCCCATTTTCAAGCCTGCGCCCTGAAAGCCAGCCAGGGAGAATCTTGCCGTTGCGGTAGCACGGGAGCTGGTGTGACTTGCTGCTGTGCTGTCTGCAAGTTGTGCGTCGCAGTCGTCCTACAGCAGCAACAGAGTTGCAACAATGTGGCGTGTACTGGGCCGGTTCTTGATGCAAACCATCTGGTTCATGAAGTTGCCGCATGCATCGAATCCCTTGCAGCAACCTGGGATCATCATGTCCCAGCACTTCAAGCTGGGGTGCCTGAGGCATCGAACTGGTGCTCAACACACCACTGTTCCTGTGGTTGACCATCAATGCATTAGCCTGGGTGCAGTCCCAGGATTGACAAAAGGAACTACAGAATTTGTTTCCCTTTTTGTTTGCAGTACCAAAAATTTCAGAGAGAACCACAATGGAGTTTGTTCTCTGCTCAGTTGTCTGCAGCAGCTCATGGATGGTATCAGCGCCCTATGCTCCTTGGCAGGAGCCAAAGTCGGAAACAGGTTTTGTTGGAGACACAAACATACATGTCCTGTTGCTTGCAGGCGAGGTACCTTCCAGTGGGCCCAGGTGGAAGGCAGTTACACTCTCAGTGAGCTGCGAAATGACCTTGACTTCTATGGACTTCCAGCTTGGGAAGACCTTTGTCCGCGTCCGCTGGGGCAGAAATTCATGGAGGCGAGGACAGACCTCATCTTCTATGGCCTTGCCGAAGCGATGGCCAGTCAAGTACGGCACCTTTGCACAGCAGACCTGGTCAAGAGGCAAGCAGACTTTTTGCTGTGCTGGGAGATGGGACAAGAGCTGGAAGTCCACAGGTTCACCTGCCGTGAGGATTATGAGACGAGTCGTTGGTTTAGGAGAGCACACCACAACAACGACATGTGGCACTTCGAGGCGGAATATGGGGAGACAGGAGGCAAAGCACACCCAGAGGAGGAAATAGATTTCGCAAACGAGACCAACAAGTTTCGTGTGGCATTCTTGTCTCAACCTGCACAAGAGATGATGGTCGCCAATCTGGCAAAATTTGGATTCAAGGCTGAATGTAGAAAGCAAGCAGTGCTGTGTGATTCTCGTGAGCTGCCTACGGACCAACCCGAGGGTGAGATTCAGTTGGTGACGATCTACTGGTAGGGCACTGCGACTGGGAGCTTGTCTGTCCATCCAGACGAGATATGTGTTTCTGTGGTGGACAGTGAATCCAGAGACTTGACTCTCTTGGTGTTTCTAATGCTGGGCTCCTTTGGAGTGAATATGATTTCTTTTGCATTACATTTGTCCAAGGTTTGATTTGTTGATGGCAATTGAGTTGGGCCACGGTTTTAGGGAACCTTTGAAGCATTTTAGTGGCCGGTGCACTGCCAAAGCCTACTGGTGGATGTTCTGTCGTAAGGCACTAGTATGGGTCACCAACATTGTGGAGCGCTTGAGGTTGGCCCGCTGCATTATTTGGTTCCCTTGTGAAAAGCAGATGGAGTGTCCTGGCAATACTGAGTGTTCTTATGTGAGCTGTTAGCTATCATCGAACGCCTTTCCCTGATAATAAATCAAGGGCGATTGTACCAACGGAGAGGAAAACGAACTGAATGGTTTACTGATGGATGATGACGACTGTCGATTGGCAGGAGAAGTTGCTTCTGAATTCTAAGGACGAATGAACTGTGTCGTGGACCTGATGTGGTACTTGATGTGCATGAAGTTGTCCAATATTGCAGCCATAAGTCAGGGTAGGCATGCTGGATTTGGGATAGTTGGACATCTAAGTGGGGTGACGGCGAGGCGACGAAAGCATGCCGGAATTGCGTCCAACTGAACACCCAACCTTGTAAATACTTGACCCTTTTCACAATGGCAGTTGCAACATTCTGCTGTGCAGCCTGGCGGGCATGGCCACGGCGTGGACAGCCCGACAATGACAATGGATTCGTCGCTCCGGTCTCGAAAACGCATGTTACAATGCATCTCGCGGCGCAGTCACGGTGGACGTCCGATTGCCTGAAGGTTGTAATCAGCATTCCAGTGAGAACGCGTGAATAGGGACTAACCAGGACCTGCGAACCGAATCTGTTCGGTGTGCATCACGCCTGCTGGCGTGTTTGCTCACTGGGCTTAGTTGTGTCTGCTGCACTCTTGCAGTTCAACGTACCCACTACTGCGGGGGCGCTGCAGCCAGCAGTTGGGGGGCAACGTGGTGCATGTGACCACAATCACCTCCAATGATAGCTGTTTCATGTTGAAACATCCGCTGACAACATACCTGCGACAGGTGTCTGAGCGATTACGACCACACACGGGCATCCTAATGGGATAGCCCCTGAGGTGTAAAAAGTTATGTAAATTTTCATGATGGTGTTGATGATGACAACCCCCAGCATTTGACAGGACGCGGCGCCAACCCCTTCTGGAGCACAGGCTGCTAGCTGGCGACGACAATCGTCACAGCCATCACGGCCATGAGCTTCGCATTGTCTCGTTCAGGCATGCCGTACTCACTGCCTGGCCTAATGCACTGGAGGGGCAGTGTCAGCCCTTGTGAATGTTTCAAGTACGGGTCAATTTGTGAAGTTTGCACTTTCTGATGGACAGCAACTCAATGGTTGGATTGCGGCAATGCCTTAGTTTCTCATGGAGCGATTCAGGGACACCGTTTTGCTCGGGCGAAATGGGGAGCTGATGGCTGCCTACTCGCCTTGATATGTAGGAATTCTTGATGATGATGAACGCATCAAGACTCCGCGACCTAAGACCGCATTGCTGTTGTGTGTGCCCTTCTAGAGCCTGACAGGTCGCGATCACCGCTCTTGCGGGTTGTTCGGCTTTCCATGCAATGCCCAGGGTTGAAGCGTACCCCTGTTGGGGAAGGCACTCCGTTGAAATCTGTACGCTTGGCTCTGAACGGAAATTAAGAGGCAGAAGAGGGGGTAGGGGGCCATGCCGTGGATACTGGGAAATTACATCATTGCACTGGAATAAAATAGGCTAGGAAGAGGCTTCAACGGCCTTCATGGTGTGCCAAAAACAAAGCATGCGTGCGTGCTTTTGGGGTGTCCTGGTGGATTCCTCTCCTGGGGTCATGGCCAGTACCCAAGCCGGCGATTGGACGCGCAGTCCATCGGCCGTTGGGTGGACAGGATGCTTATGGGCATAGATTCCAGTGACCGGCGGTGATGTTCCACAACGATATCATTGTCCATCCATTTGTGATTTCCCTCTCATCACTGCTGATCGATTGGCGACCGCCATGGCTGGTGAGTGCCTCCCAGTTGCAGGCCCAGCGGTTCGCGAATTGAAGATGGGTGCTCAGAAAGACAAACTGAATGCGTGTGGGGCATTGTTGGGTAGAATGCAGGGTTTGTCGTTTGGTCAGGTGTCCGAGATAGGACTGTGAGCAACATTGTGCCGCACAGTGTTGTGATGTGAACGACATCGGCTGCAGCGCCAACATCTTCAATCCACAAAGAGGTGAGAAAGAGATTGAGTCTAGAAAAAGTTGAGAAAGAAATCGAATAGTTGATTTTAAATCAGTGCAATACGATGACCGAAAGTCATGCACCCCTTGCCATAGGTGATGGATTTCACAAGAGCCACATCAATGCTCTGTCACTCAGTTCCCGCAGGATTCTCTGACGTTCAACTGCACCAGGGACAGAAGGCTGGGAAAAGGATGCGCCAGAATTGGCTGGCCGCGTCTGTCCGACTCTGCCATCCCTGCCAGCAAGCCCTTGGTGACCCGACAATCCGCCGGGGGGAGGCTGCCTGTTGCGGTTCATGATGTAGGGATCTTCTGCTTTATGCGATTATCATTTAGCGTCGAAGGAACAGCGACCTGCGGAGACAATGGGCACATTCGCGCTAAGAATGTTGGAACTTAAGCAAAAAATGCATTTCGGGCTTTGCCTATGCTTTGTGTACTGTTCTTCAAGCAGGCCACTTCATGCAAGCCGAAGGAAAATTTGAAAGGTACTCTGGATTAGCCCATGCATGCCCTCTTGGCTGTGAGGTCACTGGTAAATATGTATACACAGATTGTCAAAACTTTCTATCCAAAACGCTCTGTCCACCTGCAGTGTGGACATCGCAGCATCCGCTTCCTTCATGCGTGAGTGTGCTTGGCCACCACTATCGATTATTCAACGCTGATGTTTGGAGACACCTTTTTGCCCTTTGCCAGCATGCAGCTGCCGCCTGCCTGCCTTGTCAACGACGCTTGGCTTTTGTGTATCGTCATTGCCGCACCTCTTCAACATTGCGAGGTACCCGTGGCCAGGCGGCCAGCACTGGGACAGATCTGGTAGCTGGCTCTGATATGTACGGGTCCATTGTAGGTGCCATGCCTCCCATACTGGCGTTGCCTGCGCTTCAGGTAAGCCTTCTCTCAGGCCTCGCAACCGTGGCCGCTGTCCCCCTCATCCGTTGCGAAGTGGCCACAGTCGTAGCCGGCCGGATTGTGGGGTTCATGTCCACCGCAGCTGCCGCCCCCACTCTACTTACCTGTCCTGCAGCCGGCCATTTGAAGGTGCCATGCCCTCCACAGCTGTTGTGGCCTCAACAGCGGTCGTTTCATTGATGGGATGAGTGATGGCCATGACCACCATGCTCGCCGCAGTTACGCTGGCCACAACTGCGACGGGGAACTTTACAGCTGCCATATTCCCCACTGTTAACATCTCTTTCATGGCGCCACACATCCCCGTGGCTGCCATATCCCCACAAGGCTCGTCCGCTCCTTGCACATCATAGCTTGCTGTCTTCCGCAATGGTTGCACATGTTTTGGGGGCTGTGGGCTATATGGGCGCCGCAATGGTCATGATGGCCTCAATGTCCGGTTGGCCAGAAAGACTGCCCGCAACGTTGCCGAGCAGCCGTCTTTGCTGTCACCGCATCTGCCACGATGTTTGGGAACCGTTGGGACTGTGGCCGTGGCGACTGCCGCGGTGAGAGGAGTGAGAATCATGGTGAGAATAGCACCCGTGCGATTTGAGTGGCGCGTTTTTGGCGTCCGCTCGGGCCGCAGCAGGACGGGTAGGGATCAGCGAGAGTGATTGGTTTCAAATCCTCCCGCACTGCAACCCTTTTGCTGCAGTGCGGGATGTTTCATTTGGGTACTTGTTTAGATACTTTATTTGTTTTTCACCTTTTTGTGGTAGCTTGAGGCGTTGAATCAAAGTCAAATGCCACATTGATCATACGAAAAACGCAGACCCACCATGAAATACATACACTGGTATCATGAAATTATAACAGAATACTGTTAGTTACAGCGGCAAATATAATGAGATTTTGCGCCCACTGTTGGCTAAAGAGTGAATGGGCGTCTTGAATCAAATACCTGTGGATTGATGATCAAAATGGATCATATGTGCATCGGCGAAATCCGTCACAGGAGTAATTGATTCAAAGATGAAACATTTACTAATCTTCCAAACTGTCTGGCGGTGTGGGCAGTCATAAGAGTATTTGGAATAAGAAAAAATGCGACTCTCATCAGGAAGAAACGCCTAGAAATAGTAAATAAATTCCGTTGTGAAACACTCACCCTACGCCGGTGTGACTATGGCAGCATGATGCCAGGGGAGCCGCCGGCTCTGCAGTTGAAATATGGACCAGGTTCATCACATAAATTTCGAAGGTTGTTGCCCTCATGGAGCCTTTACTCATCGGCCACGAATTAGAACACCGAGGGGAAACGTTGTCTTGACCATCAGTAATTCGGTAAAATGAAAGAAAAGGAGTAATGATATTTAGTAAAAGACGTCCGCTGTGCAAGCAATGTTCCCCAAGCATGCTGCTGCTCTTGCAAGGATGTGTTGAACCAAAACAGAGCACATGTTTGCAGCAAATTCAAAATTTCCCGAACAATTAGGGTTGTATGACCTCAAAAAGCATTGTGGCATGGCAGACAGCAATTGCGCTGTCGCGGAAACTTCGGGGCACGATTGACGACGCCGGACCTCAACTTCTAGTCGCCATCAGCTGAACTTCGCAGCAACGCCATATTCTCAAACGACGGCCCACAAGTTCTCGGCGGGAATGAAAGTCTCCGTTGCTAGACAATAAGGCGCGCCATACATTAGCCGCTCTCGAAGATGCGCCTCGCGTCGCGGGTCAGTTACCGTTGACTCAACGGCAACAAGTGGCGGCGGCGCATGAACGATAGCACGCTATCTCGCAGCTGTCGAGACTCGGGCGCACGACACTTGTCGATGGGCGAAAGCCAACCACGCGGTAGCGAAGTTGCATAGTTCTGTGCTGCAGGTGCGTCTGGCACATGTGCAGCTTGGCGAAAGTCAAACGCGCCCAATCGGAAAGAGATACCACCCAAACGCGCGCACACAAGCTCGCAAGCTGCCGCGGTGAACCTTGTGTCCCCTGACGCCGGAGTAATATGATCATCTCGGGCTGTCTGCAATGTCGCGAAGGGAGTCAGAACCCACCCCAGCGCGTTCTTAAGTTCACCAGCGGTCTGCGCCACAAGGGTGGCGTCTTCGGAGCAACGCCACCTCGGCCACTGTCGCCGTGAAGCCAAGTTCCAAGCTCCCTGGCATCTCTAGGTCGGTCGCGGCTCCTCCCTTTGGAATCCAGAGTTGGCTTGAAGTCAAGGGAGGTTTTCACAACGGAAAGGTGCCAAGAGCGCAGACCACAGGGGACTTGCAGCTGATGATGCCGGAACAGTCGTTGACCAACGGCCCGGGTTTACCGGACGTGGCTGTCCGGGTCAACATTGCGGATGGTTCGATGCCCCCAAACTACGCCTCGCGGTCAAAGGGGTGCGTAGGGCACGAACCTGGGACGCGATATTGCGATCAACGCGATCCGATGCGCCGCTTGAGAAAAGACGGTCATATTGAAGGTGTGTGATACCCGGTGACCACTTGGCACTTGAAGACGAGATCCATTTTCTCTTCCACTGCAAAGCCTACGATAATATCCGTCGAAGCCACTCTCGTATTTTTGATGTCGCAATGCAAAAGTACTTTTTGCTACAGTTCCAGCTCGCCAGCTTGCGAACACACTTCGTTTGATGTATTACCACCGATTATCACTTCTAGGCATCGAAAGTTCATAGATCATAGATTTAGTTTGTATTTCTCATTAGATTCCAATGAACCAATCACCGAGTCTGCTTTGCTCAGGCAAAATAGGAAGCTGACGGCTACCTCTTTGCCTTGTTCTGTAAAAAATCATGACGGTACCCGGTGAGAGCAAAAATGTACAGATGGCCGCCTCCTCACCTTGATCTGATGTGCAAGATTTCTTGATGGTGGTGCCCAATGGACCATCGCGTAGACATACAACCGCACTGTATTCCATGATACAAGTACACGAGCGGTTCCAAGAGTGAGCATAGAGTAAGACTTGAGCGAGATATTCGTTTGGATGTATTATCATCGGCTCTTGCCACTAGGAGCTAACAGATTCATAAATTTTGTTTGTGTTAATGATTAAATTTCCATGAACTGAGCATGGACACTGCTTGCTCGGGCAAAATAGGAAGCTGACAGCTACCTGATTGCCTTGCAGAATTACATGATGATGATTTGGGAATGTGCCTAATGGGGAGCAGCCCCTGGCACCAGGAAATTGTCAATTCTTCTTGGCATCTATGCAATTTGACGGTAGTGTCCTAAAGATATCTTTCAGGCCCTCAGCTCTACTGGCCACTGGCTCAGTCTCGACACATTTTCTTTCTCGTGCTTCGTGATAATTCCAGGAAAATTCAGCACGTTTTCATCATCATCATCATTAGACACTACATTCTGATGACTCCATTGCTCCCAATCAGCAGCCACCTCTGTACGTGAATATCTCTCTACATGGACATCTCTTTATTTTGCTTCTGACCTAAATTGCCGAAGGGTGGCACAGGCTGTTAACATCATGTTTATGCTGCTGGGAGCGGAGTTGGGTTTGGTGAACGCTATGTAATTAACGAATTCATCATCATCGTCGCCGTCGACGTCATCATTTGGTACAGAACAAGGCAATGAGGTGGCCGTCTGCTTCCTATTTTGCCCCAGCAAAGCAGAGTCTGTGATCAGTGCGTTGAAATTTAATGTTAAGCAAAAGCAAAATCTATGAGTCTATTAAATCCTAATGCCTAGAAGCGATTATCAATGATAATACATCAAAAGAAGTGTCCTTGATGTGTTTGCATCATCGCTGAATCCGTGAAGGTTGGTTGGAAATGACACTGGCAATGTGGACGTGTTTGTAGACCTGTTGAAAAGACTGTACATCAACTGGTACAGCCTCCGTTGAGCTGAGATCAGGCCAGAATCAATGGAAAAAGGCAACGTTGCATCCACACAATGATTGAGGATTGGTTGAGAATTGCTGAAACCCAGACTTGAAAATGGCGCCATGAACACGAGAGTTGGAAAATTCCACCATTCGATTCCAGCATCGCATCAACTGTCACCATAAGTAAAATTCTAAAGGAAGTGCTCCCATTTTGGCATAAACAATCCCTAGTGGCGTGTGGCCACGAAGGCAAAGAACTTGGCATAAGAATTGAGTCTGGACTTTCTTCAAGTGATTCCATTGAGTCTTCATGAGGAAGAGGCCCCAAATAGGAAAGGCATGTCCAACTGAGCCCAGAACATAGGTCTTGAATAGGCTGCGTGCAATTTTGGGATCCATGATGCAAAGAACACTTAACCTTTGAAGAATTATTCCTTGGGCTGCGCGTGCCCTCTTCAAAATAGTGTCAGTATGCGGCTGGAAAAAGACTCGACTTGCAGAAGAAATTCCAATGCCTAAGTAGGCATGCTCTTTTGTGATTGAATTGTCCCAATTGTCAAATACGTACTTGTCCGGGGCAGCAGTAAAGGAAGTCATGATTCGAGTCTTTAAAAAATTTGGTCCAATTCCAGAAAGGGATTCCCGCTCGTTTTCATGAGACTTCACAGGCCGCACAGATTTCGTCTTAGTGGCTGGTAGTCATCACAATCAAGAAATCTTACAGAAGCTGCTGGTAGGCGCTCATGTTTGTTGGCAACAAGTCTATTGCCATATAGCAATGCGCCTTGTGTTTGTTCTTATTCATCAGCACCATCACTCATCATTACACAACAAGGCAAGAAGGTAGCCGTCCTGTGTTCTGCCTCCTATTATACCTCTTTGCTATTCATTACCAACAATATATGTATACTGCACAATAAACAATAGTCGCATACTGCCAGTGTCAGCAGCGTTCACGCGGGACCAATCGTGCATGCATGGGTTGACGGCAAGTGCGATGGTTGGATGTCAAGAGCCCATACGCTAAGCTGACAAGTCACCATCGCAGGAGGCAGATCGTCAGCAGACCGGTGTGCCTGGATGCATTTCGACGATCGAACCAGCATTGGCATACAGCGCAGGTCAATCCAAGCAAATCGATGGCCGTGTCTAAGGCGGCAGTACCTTGCGCTCCAAGATGCTAGACTCAACACCAAGGAAAGGTGCAAGACATTTTTGAGACAAGTGCACGTGGAGCGATATCTAAAGGCAGTCACTAACTACAATTTGGGGCATTTTCGTACAAGGATACTATCCATCCAGAAAATGTCTTGCCCCACACCTCTTGTTTACTTTTGCCAGGCCTGCACACATTTCGAATGCAACCCATTGATAGCATTCTTAACATGCAGTGACAACTGTCACATCAGCGCTGCCTGCCACCTATCATTCTTCAATAAGACATCTAGGCCCACGTTGTGCTGCAACGTCCTTCTTGTCCAGCCGAACATTGCCAAGTCGCCTTTTACAGTTTCTGAGATGGGCTCCAATGCTTCCCCTCAACAGGGTCGCCATGGCATCTCTTTTCTTCTTCCATGCATCATCGGCAACACTGACTCACTGACAGTCCTTCCTAAACCTTCTCCCATGAACCACCTCTTTGTGGCCCTCCTGCCGTCTATCACCATATCACCTTATGCTCTCAGCGCCTTCACCTTCCACCTCAACGTTTCCTGGGCACAAAAAGGCACAACCACGTCGTCCCCAAATTGGTAGGAGTCGGGAGGGTTCCACGGCTCCTGGACAAGGCTGATGCTGCCTCTGTTTCGTGGCAACCCATAAAACTCGGGCCCATTGATGCTGGCAAATGCTTCCAGCTGATCTAGGGCACCAGCCTGCACGTACATAATGCATTTAAACACCTTGCTTTCAGGCCTTGGTTTGCGCCCCAGAAGCGCCCCCTGGAGATGACAGCACACCGGCATGGACAACACACAGAATACCAATATAGAGTCAATGAACTTATGGGAGCAGGAGAAGCCCGCAAGACACTCACTGAGCATAAGCAAATGAGCGTCATGTAGTTGGCTTCACTGCAAAATATCATGCATCAGTGACAAACTCAGTGCAGGAGGAGCTCTGTGCCTAGAATTGACTCATGACTCAAGTATGCGTTGCCATGACACACACATCCAAACTTCCACAACCTTCGATCTTTGGACTTGGGAGCTACCATTGCTGACATTCGAGGGGTGGCAGCAGTTGCGGTGCTATGTTACTACAGTTTGCCAAAATAGTCAAGGACAGAGCACAACCCTTTAGAAGCAACTTCATCCCCCAAGGATGAAAGACTTGCTGTCTAACTTTGACACCAGAAACATGCAAACAACGCAACGATGAGCGTCTTATGCACAGTCAACAGAGACGCCAATATTCAAGTGTTGTTCACCCATGTTGCGCCATTAATACTTCTCTCCACCAATGACTCTTGGTGGGGAAACCTGATATGGCTGGATTGCTGTCCTCCAGGTTGATGCACAGGACGCCTGCCACTGATAGGCAAGCTCCATTCTGTTGCCGTGTTGGCAGCACATGCAGGAGGTTTTAAACTCAGACATTGTTGCAAGCACACGGAGACTTCCGAATAATTGCATACTCTGTATAACAAGAAACACAGATACTTGCCACCCAGGGGGCAACTTTGTGTGAAAATATTATCCTTTGCATTTAAATGGCAACCTTCAATGGATACCAAGTGCACCTGTATTCGCATTGTCAGGTGATCATTCCGTGGAAACCAGATCCTTGCTTCCTCGGAAACAATGCCAAGGAGGGCAGTTATTCCACAGGTAAACTGAAGGGTAGCAGCATAGAAGCGACCACGTGCTATTACATATCTGCGTGCTATTGCGAAAGCGACACTCAACCCAATATGATCTGATATGATTACAATGCACCTTTCACCACAGTTCATCCTCAATTCTCGATCAGATTTTCATGTTGCAAATGACAATTGTGCCTTCCAAGGTTGCCTTTGTCACGAAGACTCTGAGTTATGTGATAGAAATACAGCATCCATGGACCAGCTGGTCACTGTCCAGTCCATTCATCCACAGCTACCAAGACTTGGAAGCAGCATAGCTCTCATGTACCCACCAGTGGAGAGCTAATGAGCAGTCAAATAGACCAACTACAAATATGAAAAGCGAAGCAGGCTCCAATCTCACCTTCTCAAAGGCATCAGCATATACGGAGAGAGCCACAGGTGCACTGAAGATTCCAGCACACCCACAGGAACTCTCCTGAGCGCAAACAGCAAAAGAAAACACAATTGGCACCAAGAAGAATAAGATCAACATCATAAACGTCCACGCGCAAGAAACACAATGTGGCTCCCCAGACGGCAAAGCAAAGCTTGATGCCTGGAAAGGATGGACATTTTGACATGCACTGAACAGCCTGTCAGATGCTACTGTGAACTGTTTTCAGCCTAGCAGAAAGGCCAAGGCACAGGTGATTCGCTCACCTTAGCATGTCTGGGGTGTGGGGCACTGTCAGTTCCCAGAAAGAACTTGGTGCTGCCACTGGTTGCCGCTTCACAAACAGCACGTCCTGAGGATACCAGCAGACTTGAAGCAATGAGGAATTGTTTGTCAACCATGCACAGTTTGAGATACAGGGGGCCCCACATCGAGGTGGCTTGGCAAGGGGTGCATTCCAACTGGAAGACAGGCCATACATTGGATATACCCTGCAACGATAGTAAGCAGGCGTATTTTTGCGTTACAGATGCCATGGTGGGCACAAGATGCTGTACTTGTGGTTCAGAATGCATCCAGGCTCAACGATGAACAGCACAAAGTCGCTGACCCATGCTGGTGGTGCCACCATTGCCCACTCATAACCAAAAGGGTAAAACGTCTGCAGCTGACATAATGTACAGGAACTGAAATGACAAGAGCAGCAGGCAACATGAGCAAAGTAACAAGAAATGTTCTCCGATGTTGGAGGGTGTCTAAAAAAGCTGTGAACTCAACTAGCATCGGCACATTACAGACAACGTAAGCAACATGTCAGAATCGGCCATTGCAACCTGACATCTGCTGCAAGTGGAAGTCAAAGCAGAAACATCTTCAAAGACATTTTGGCACACAAGCTGTTTGTTCTGTAGTTCCAGGGAGTTGTGACAACAAGAGCAGGTGGCATTACACATCTGCCACATGCTTCCACAACTGGATTACTATGCACAGTACCTTTGGTCGTACAGCAATTTCACTTACTGTGCAACTCTCTTTTCAAGACAGGTAGGCAATAGTGGTGGGGTCTCAGACCTCCCTGCAGGGAAGATGCACATATCTGCCATTGATCAAATCAGAGGGGGGAAATTTTGCAATGCGCACCACTGACAATGATATTCTGTGAAACTACACTAACAACGCAAGGCAGCAGGGCGACTCTGGAGCATATGCAGACATAGATTTTCAGAGGCACAAACAGCATAATCTGGAAAGACAGTGAAATACACTAGTGTTATGGAACAAAGTGAGCACTGCTCTTACCACAAAGAGGGAGTTCCTGTTTAAGGTTAGGTGCTGTGGTGTGATGGTGGCAGCCAAGCCTTCAGGACTGCTCCTCACAAAGTCAACCTGCACACAATACAGGCCACTTCAACCATTGGCCACACCCACAGAAGCCTGAAATCAGAAAACAGTAAGCACACCAATATCAGGGACTGGGTTGCTGCTGTTGGTACAAACTGTCTTGCAACACCTTCGGTTGTGCCAGATGAGCAGCTGTTTGTGATCACCGAACAAACTATTAAAGCAGAACACAAGAAGCAGACTGTCATCGAGCCCAACCTACTGAAGGCCAAGACAATGACACCCAATGTTCAACAGGCGTTGTCACTACAATCAACAATCCAAGTGGTCCACACCACAATCACCGTCTTATGAAAGTGCACTCACCACCTGACAACAACTCCTAGCATGGCTGCAGCACACTGATGTGCAAATTCATCAATGCAATGCAGAAAACCCATCCTCCAAATTATGTTGCATCTGTTGGAAATTGGAAGATGCCTGTCGCAGTTTGCATACTGAAACAAGAAATCCTCAAACTTGGGTGCTGGTCAATGTATCCCAAGTCATGAAAATTCTCAAACCAGCAGGTTGGTATCCAAAGAGGCCATCAGGGCAGGGTTTTCAACAGTCATCTGTTCCAAACTCAGCAGTCCAGCATCAAAAGACTTCAATGTCTGCCCAATCCAGTGATGCAAAAAATGTTGAACACTAGTAATCAAATGCTTTGTCACCTTTCACCCTGTTGCTTACAGCATCCTTGGTTGTGATGTGTTCCATTACGACCCTCAGATCTGGCACGGCATCCATTGCAGGAATCTGACACAATTCAAATCAGAGGCATGTCAACGCAGATATGTCGTGCCTTCTTCAAAATGTACAGTTGGGCATGAAGACATGACTTCTTCAGAAGTTCCACAACGTTCAAAATAAGCAGTTCTGCACTCAATCCTTCCAATCCTTTGTTCGTGAATCTGGAGCAGATGCTGCAGGCAGAAATACGCCACTGCGCACAGGTGCAAGAGCAGTGTGTTGGCACCTTCTGACAAATAACCAACACGATTGGCATCTCTGTCTGCGCACCATGACTTGTTGGATGAACTCCTTTTCCCGATCAAAGATATCCACTGATGGGTCCGTGACTTCACCATGCACCAGTAGCAGCATGTCTGCCTCTGCTATTGCCCTTAGGACAGGAAGGACGTTCTTGATGTCCGTCACCCCAGAAGAAGAGTTCGTTGTAGCACCTTTAAAACGCAGGCATTTGCACACCAGTTCCTTCGTCACACATCAGCCCACCTGGACGCTGAACACTATGTAGCACCATTTCTCCATTCCATGCCAACGGAATCGCCAAAGTGCTCTTGGCCTGAAAACATAATCCTCTCAATGGGACAAGACTTCTCTCTGAGTGCACTCACTTTTTCTGCTATCAATGTTCCGGACCTTACAACATATCACTTGCAATTCCTGAGAGGCAGCAAAAGGCCTAAATCTTTTCAAGTTGGACAGGTGCTGCACCATGACTCCCAAATGTGATGTGATACTTTGGAATAAGATGGGCCGAATGCATTCAAGAGATACAGAATGATAAGCCACAAGAGGTGGACAATTAGCTGAACAGTGCTCTTGACTTGTGTGTAAAGGACCATGCAAAATGTTGATAATTCCAGTACTCCCAGCTTTTTCATGGGCAGGTAAACGATCTGTTTGTGTGCTAGCTGTGGCGGACAAAACAACGCATTAGCTTGTGTCACAAATGGAAGCTGACAGAATCGCTGGATTGCGCTGGCAAGTTCAACGCATCAAACACTACCAATCTACTGCCTTATTGTCCCTGGCCATCCTGCAGTCTGTTTGGAGACAGCAGCAGGTGCACTCCAGAGCCATAGTTAGCCAGAATACAGTATCCAATCACCGACCATCCCTGCTGTAACATCGCCCAAAAGTCAATCGAACCTGCTTGCATGGGTGCCAAATACGTTCCAGTCGTCAACAGACACACACAAAACCCCATATTTGAGTCACTTCATCTCCTCCCATGTGTATTGTGGACTGTAGATGCATCAACTCACAGGGCGCCAGCCAACAGTACCTGGTGATGTTCAATTCTGAGTGGTAGAAAGAATCGTACTGGGAATAGCCAGTTGTAAAAGGCCCCTGACATCGCCCAGTGTGTACAAAACCAGCGCATCTTAACTATACTGCATTTGGGGAAAGTGGTAACCACAGATTTTCAAGCCAAAGGATTAATCCTAAGGCTCAGCAGTTGTTCAATGCAGAACAGGTTCGTCTCAGTGCCCTTATCTACTGCACGGTACAGAGCTGTGCACAGCCTGCAAGGCAGCATGCTGCCCAAGCTGAAGGGCAGCCACAACAACAAAGCATCAAAAATTGATGTTCAGCTGACCTGCAGGGTAGAGCTTGAAAGCCACTATTCCTGCTGCCTTAGCCCTCCACACTTCTTCTTCTGGTGTATCATCAGTGAGGTACAGTGTCATCAGGGGTGTGAAAGTGCAACCTGCGGGAATCGCAGATATAATGCGCTCCTTGTAGGCCATGCACTGAGGAAGGCACACAGTGGGAATTCAGGAAGTTGTAACAGAAGGAACAACTGATGACAAAGAAATGGAAACAACACCAACATTGTGCACACTGCAACACGTTATGCACGCCTGGAAGGTGGGACTGAAAGAAGGAAGGAATAAATGCTCAGTGTTGACAGGCCAACAAAAGAGCAAACGTTGGATGTGTTGCAGTTGCATGGATGGTAAACACAGCAAAGAGTCAAACGTAGGCGCTCCATTCATCTTGAAGGCTTCTGTTCTATTCTGACCATCACGTTCAAAAACAAACGGGTGCCCAAGGCTGTTGCTGCAATGTTTACCTGGGCAAGAACTCCACACTGGCAACACAACAGCCAGCCCTATCTGGCATCTGCTCCACCTCCTTCTGAATGATATGACAAGGGCGACAATGCTCGTTGTTGGTACCATTGCTTCCTAAACACTGAAGTAACACAGTCTGATACAAAGTCATCCTTTGTTGGGGCAGTTCATGCATGCACCTAGTTTCAAGGATGCAGGAGGCCAAACAATGGCCAAGACAAGGACAACCAATCAAACAAAATGGCAGCAGTTCACCTACAGCTTCGGTTGTTGTTATCGGCGGAACCAGGTTCGGCATGATGACGGCCCGTCCAAAATGTTGTGCTGAAAATGGCACCACAGACTGAAGCTGGGGCCCATCTCGGACGTGGAGGTGCCAGTCATCTGGTTGGGTTATAACCATCTCTGACAAGGTGCTGCACAGGACACGTTCATGAGATGTCCGAAGGCAACCCCTTGGCCCCAGACCCGCAGGATACACATGCCCTAAAGAACAGCACAAATGCGTCGATCGAGGAGCTTTTGTGGATTCACAGGTTTCTTCCGAATATTCACAAGTTCCACCTGCTGACTGCACTTTCAGCCAAGTCAACTTGTGCACAAGACGCTCGTGCGATTCAAAGACGAACACTGATGCTGCCCTTCAACCCTTGATCGCTTTGCAGCTTCCTCAGGTTGGTTATCTGTAATCGAAAATGAATGCATGCAGGAGGGGGGCTACGCACACAATAGTGAACAAATGCGAAACATTACAGAGTATGGGGCAAGGCTTCGAGGCGCAGATGACCGGAACAGCTCTCCGAGCTTGCCGCAAACACAGAGCGCAACAAACACCAGCTATCCGCACCTGGTCTGACAAGGACCGAAGGCGTTAGAAAATGCCGAACCCTGGCAAAATGCAGCATATTTGCCGTGGCAGTGGCCCTTCCCTCTCCCCTTTCGCCGACGGCTCAGCCCAGCAGGGACGCTGCCAACTGTGGCAGGGTTGGGCCGGGGACAGTCACCGGTGACCGCCGCGGGCCAGCTTGAGAAGGGATCCTGATTTCAGATATGCAGCATGTCGAATCGTCGCACACACACGGACCCTGCGGCATACACCTGCCCCAGCATTCGCAATGGGTACATTATCCCCACCTTAACCCCCTCCTTGCAAAAAAAAGCCTGTCGACAACGGGGCGCATTGCTGTCCAGTTTCTGTCACCGTCCTCCTGTCAGCAACGGGCACCGTCCTGGCAACAAGAGGTCCTCGGTGTGGGGTTTGGCTAGCCGGCCCCGGCGTGTGCCGGCCTGGGCCCGGCGGCCCCGAGCATGCGGGAGTTCTACGGCTGCTACCTGCTGTCCTCGTTGAACCCCCGCGCTCGCGGGAGGACGTACATCGGGTGGGTGTCATGCGAAGCAATTCAGGGTTTTGCACGTCCAACCGAGGGGCAATTGCCTTGCCGGGGACCGAATTGTTGGGCGGTGTGACGGCAGCATCTGTGTGACAATTCCTGAGTTATTCGCAGCGTTGATCGGGAGGCCGGCTGGCGCTGGAAAGCCGGGTCTCGCGGAAGCGAGGGGCAGTGTTGCAGAGCCGGGTCCTGGGGAAACACGAGTGCCTCTCGAAGTTCGTGAAGAGGAAGGGACACTGCAACGATGCTGTGATCCTGATGCCTGTGGGCCAACTTGTCCTGTGCATACATCACACCAAGGATTTCGGCAGGGTGTGTCGTTCGATTACTGCAGCAGTGCAACCAAATTTCCCGGAGCAGGGAGTCCAGCAACGCGGGCGACACCTTTTAACTTCCCAATGAAGGAGAGACATCAGTGATATGCTTTGTAGCCCCTTGCATTAATCAGCAATTGTCAAACTGTGAAGTTTTCACCCAACACGATCACTCCTTAAGGACTGCAACATCTGAAGATCCTCCCTGTTTGGCCCACCAGGGATTAAAGCAAATTCGTTTCTAACGCCCCTGCAGGAATTCTGCGCACACAACCTTACTGTTCAAGGATTGTGTCAACTGTGGGTGGTGTGCTTGGCTGATCCAATCTCTCTGGACTGCCTGTTTAACACAGCACAGTATCATGGGTCCTCATTCGCTGCGAGTTCTGGATCCTACCTGCCCATACAGGGCAGATATGGAAAACCAGCAGCTGCTAAATGAATTTGCCGGTTTCTGGTATCAAGATGGATTGGGCGGCTGGTGCTCAGAACACCATAGTGAAGCTGCAAAGTACCCATAGCTGCCTTGAATGTGTAAGGGCAAAGCTTTGTCAGCTTGGAAAGTGGTTCCAAAGCAGTATCACATCTTTTCCAGTGTCGTGGTTTGCAGTGCACCATCAGCCACATTGGAAGTAACAAAGGGGTTTTCTAACCAGGTCATTCTGGAAGCGTATGGTTTGCTGTTTGTGCTATTTGACAGTGAAGCACCAGTTGCTGTGCTTGTTGAACGCAGCTTCACGGTCAACCCCCAGCGGCGACTGAGGCAGCACAACGGAGAAATTGCTGCTGGTGCACATACCACCAAAAGATGCAGGCCTTGGGAGATGGTACTTGTCATCTATGGTTTTCTGACACAGGTAACAGAAGGCTGCAGTTGCCATTTGCTCTTGCATTCAAGTCCATATGCTTACCACTGAATTGTATTAGAGCATCCCCAATATCTTTCAGTTGCTTCTGAGTCTTGTTTGCCCAAGCACACATAGCCCCCTGTTTGAGCTGTATACACAGTGGTTGGCACGCAGAGCAGCTTTAGAATGTAACCAGATATTTGTGCGTGCTGCAATGCTGTTTAGTATTAGTGGTCGTGGTGGAATCAGTTCAGCAGCAGTAGTTGTAGCTTGTGGCCGACTGCTCCCCTTGACAGCTTGGCAGATCATGTTATGGGGCACACGTCTATGTGCCTTTGCTGAGCAGTGCTCCACATAGATATAATGTATCCTGTGTGGGCCAATGAGCAAATTTTCCTTATCGAAGATTCTCCCAGCAGCTTCTCTGTTGTGAATGTGGTGCACTCTGGTGCTTCTGCAGACACAAGCACTGCAGTTTGAGTGGGCATGGCAGCACCCCACCAAATCCAAAGCTGTCAGGGCAGCTGCCGAGAAGCTGGGAACAAAGGGAATGAAGGGGCTGAAAGGAAAGGTGTGAGCAGCGTGCATCACCAGCTTATGTGACTGCAGGCACATGCGTAGATGGGCACGGTGACCCGTAGATGGGCATGGTAGCCAATAGCACATTGAATGGTACAAGTAGATTGTAAGGTTGAGGACTGCTGCTGTGCTACCTTGGTGAAGTTCGACCATGGGCACACTGCCACTCTTAAGGACACCCTTTAACAAAAGGATAAAACCACTAGTCTGTTGATTCATATGGACATAGGTTCTGTTGGTAATTGGTAAACGTCCTTCAGTTTTTTGGGATGCAACCTTCATTTACATTAATGGTTCCTGTTTTGTGGCGAGGAGCCTTGACGCCAGTACCGTACAAAGAGCATGCAGCCATGCTGCCTGATTTGGCGATCTGTGGTCACGTCTGTTAGGCGGTTCATCAACTCTCAAACAAATTTGATGGAAGTCCACACTGCCGATTGCCTTAGTCTTCTCATCCTACATACTGCAATCCCATCACCTACAAGCCGCTGCTGTAGGTCCCCCAACTTCTAGCCCAGTTGCTGTGTGCTTCACCGCAGAAGCAAAGTTGAAGACTTGTGCCTCCTGCTGGGTTCCCAGGTCAATGTACTGCACGAGATGCTGCACACCTCCCCATGGTGTTACTTCCCCTTAAGCCTGCAGCTTCTGTCGTCAAAGTGGAACCCTCTCAGACAAGGTACTGCTCAAACTTTCTCTTTGCAGTATTCCCACTTTGACACCAATGTCATATCCAAGGCAACCTGGTGTTCTTGCAATTGTCTGGCAGTGTTGGGCAGTTGTCTGCAGATTGTCGCAAGTGCCATCGCTGGGTGGGCTGCTGCTGGTGTGCCTCACATGAACTAATACACTCATCACTTGGCACCTGTAATGCAGTGTGGTGGCAGGCTGCACCCAGCCATACAGCAAACTCTTGCTGGTCCCTGTGTGTTGCTCTGGAAGTATTCCATGCATGTCTTAACTAGCCTGCACATCAACGATGGGTGACACCTAGCATTGACAAGGCATTAGTTGTCACAGTTTTGCACATCAATATGTGGTGATATGTTGTGACTTCCAAGCACGAGCTGAGCTTTCTTGCCAAGATTATCTGATATTCTCTGGTTATATGTGCAGTTTACTGGTGTTGTTGCTGTTAATCAGACAGCATCTTGTAGGCACATCAGCACATCCTGTGCCTGTGCACCACGCTAGCAGATCTCCACTGCGCCCACAGCCTCAAATCACTGTCCAACCCAAGCAAGCAGAGACTGGAAAATGAGAACTGGGAGTCCCCTGAACCTCTGTGCATTTGTCAGCTTTTCGTTTGCTATGCAAAGGATTGACAGGCAGCATTGCATTGAGTTTATCTTGCTGCTTGAAATGGCGTGCAGGATGTCGCCCACCACCAGGACACATGCCTGTGAATGTTGCCCCTTTGCCCTATCTGCCCGAATCTGTGGCGGATGACGACCTTGAAAGCGACACAAAGGAAAGTGAAGCACTGGGCGACGGCGACAACAGTGAGCAAGATATGCGCAATTGTTCCATGACGAACCCAAGTGACTCTGACAGCAGCAACTCTGGCTTGGACAATGCAGCAGAAATCTGCAAGGATGAAGTCAGAGGCAAAAGGCAAGCCACGAGGGTGTGCGCCGCTTGTGGAAAGAAGCTCGACAGGACCTGGATGGTGGGCACTTGCTGTTGTCGGAATGCACTGGATTCGTCTGTGAGCTCACCCCCTGAATGGTGTTAATGCTGCCCACCTGAAACTCAAGGACAAAGTGGAAAGAGTGCGCATGAGATCACACAACACCCTTGGTAGAATGGAACCACATGTATGGAGGTTGGGCGGGGAGCTGTTGGTCGGAACTGTTTGGGTTGCTGTGCGGTAGCCCCTGTACTGTGGAGCTCACCCATAGTACTGCGGTGCAGGTTTGTGGCTGTGAACAGGCTTCACACATCGACTGCCTGGCAGAGCGTTTCATGCAAGAGAGCACTTCAGAGTCAGCCCTTCCAGTCAAGGGTAGTTGCCCTGCTTGTCAGCGCCCGCACACATGGGTAGAGGTGCTGCGGCGTTCTGAGTCCACGGGATGGCAAAAGAAGCGGCCCCAGCGACGTCAAAGGAGAGGGCGAGGGGCTGCACGGCAAGCAAAGGAAAACAGCAGGGTTCAAGTCGAAAACTGCCTGGAGGTGGGGAAGGATGCTCAGCGTCCTCGTGGACTCGCGCAAAGAGGAAAACAAAGAAGAGGGCGAGGATGTGCTGATCAGTGTGCAGCAATGCAGCATAGGGGACAAGCTGAACAATACATTGAGAATTGGCAGGATGATGGCACCGGTAAGGGAGATCACATGAGGAACTGTTCACCTCACAGGGCTTGTGGTTCTACTGATCCTCCTGTGAAGGGGATGTCCTCACCAATGGCATCTGATAATTTGGAAGGGCGCCGCAGTGAGTGCAAATCTCCAGGGTTAGCTGTGAAGCAGCAGAGTTTGGGCTGGGACAGCCTGCCATTTTCTGAACGAATCAGACGCAGGCTGCTGATGGACACTGACAGAAATGGATCACAACAGTTCCAGGCGAACAACACTTCTGGGCAGCCCACTCACAGTACCACAGGAGACTGGCGTATTGAATTCGATCAGGACAAGAGGCATTCAGGAATGAGCAACGTGCTGCAGGACGTTTGTGAGATGCATGGTGTGGATGGTGATGAGGCTTCAATTCACATGAATTCCACTGATTTTAATGATCTGAGGGGGGCCAGTTGCAGTACGAAAATGCAGGATTCTGGCAGTGATGCTCATGTGGCCCCAGCTGATGAGCGCAGCCCTCTTCTGTGCACAACGCCTTGTTGGAATCCTCATCGTTCTGGGCGAGCTGATGAGCCAGGGACAAGTGGCTTCATTGACTTACTGACTCCTGAGCCATTGATCGACAAATTGGAGTCCCTGTCCATAAGCAAGCCTGGCCTACCATGGCATCCTGCAGCAGATGAAGAAACAACAGTTCGCCACAAGGAAGCCACCCTATGCATTCGCACCCCTTGTGACGGAAGTGCAGAGGCTGGTCTGATGAGCTCATGGCGAGCAGACGGCTGCCTTCGAGATCAAGATGGTGCTTCCACTGCACAAGTCAAGCATGGCAGGGATCTCCTTGCTGGCATCTACCCAAAGAAACGGGACAGGTGACACACCGGCCTGATATTCTGCTGCAAATTTTGCTTGTGCAATAAATCTACTGTCAGTGGTGCACAGTGAGAGAAATGGTTTTGTGGCGATTCCCTAATTTGCACAGAGTCATTTGTCATTGGCAAGTCCGCTGGAGCATTGGGAGTGTGTGTGTGCACTGCAGCCACTGATGCACTGCTTGTCAATGTTTGTGTTCTGTCTGCCTGTCGGCTGATAATACTGATTGCATGCAAATGCACAGGGAACTCCGCAATTGCAATGCCTTGGCCACAGAATCCTTGGGTGACAGCAGCGCAAGCAAAGGTGGTAAGCAAGGCCCACAGGGATGCAACAAAGCAATAGAAGGTCGGCTGGGATCTACCACATGGTCTGCCGATCTTCAGTCACCCTTACCATTGAGGAGGAGGCTGTGCGATGAGCTGGTGATCGAGGGAGGGCAGATTGATTTTGAAGACGTCATTGTTGTGGAGTGAGGATCAAATCCTTTACCAGGGAGCAAGAATTTATGGCAAGCAGCAATGCGTAATGGGAGTGAGCGCTACCTCCAGAAGCTATTAACCAGCTGAGTAGAGCCATGGGCTGGAAGGGCAGAATCTTGAGCAGAAAGCGAATTCCCCACCTGCACGTTTGGAGTGGCCCCTATGGTGCAATAATGTTGTGCAGTACATTGCTGGCATTATTTTGGTCGACAATTCTTTTCAAGTGCCAGAGTGTGTGCAAGGATGCAACAAAAAGGAAGTTGTTTCACAGAAGAACCAGGAGGTGTTTCCATTTGCAGCTGCGATCCCAAAAGTGTGCGATTTGCGCTTTGCACACATGCCAGCCCGTTGATTCTGTCAACGAAAGCATTACTCACGAGTACCAACAGCGATATTGACCACAAACATGGTACATGACACACTGGCTGCACTATTCTTGCACAAACCCGAGTGTGTTGCAGCTGGCGACTTGACTCACGGCTTTGGCATTTTCAACTCGGGGTCAGCAATCTGGTCCGCGCCATTGCTGAACTTTTGAGAGCCGACGAACAGCTCCTGTTCCCCCTTGTCATTTCGTGAAACCGCCTCCAACCATGCAGCAGCGCACTCCCCCCCCCCCTTTTCCCGAAATCACACCTAGAATCCCTCCAGCAGCAAAGACGAAACCCTGAGACCCAGAGCGGGTCTGGTACAGGGACAGGTATTCCAAGAGTTTAGAGTTTATTTATTTGGGATTGTTCTTTTTTTGTATTTTTACCTTTAAGGTTTTAGGGTGTCATGAAAGCAGGCCAAACTTTGTCTGATCACGATCTGATTCCTTGAAGCAAGTCCAGCATGTGCTTGGCCACGTCACTGCTCTCCGTCTTCCAGCCCATATGGCACGTTCTGCACAGAGCAAAGGCCGTTCTACTGTCAATGTTGGGGTTTCTGGTGCTTGGGAGCATCAGGGGTAAAGCTTGAGCCCACCGTGGGGGCATTGTTGAATGGGCCGTCTTTGCGGTGGCCGAAACCAGGGGTCTACCCATGTTGGGAACCTGACCCTGGTGAAGTGTGTCGGGGCCAATGGACAGTCAGGATACCAAAAGGTTGAACAGGTTGGACCCTCCGCTTGAGGTCCACGGCTGGACCAGGGGGGCTTCACGAACTGCGAGAGGTATTTTGAGTACGCTGGGGAGGTCATGGATTCTGCAGTCCTGCCATCATCTGGGAGTTGAGCAGCTGCGTTGGGCAGTCCAGCCTCCCGGATTTCATTGAGGTCCGGGGCCCTGGCAAGGCGGCGCATTCCGCCTGTGGACACTCTCTGCTGCCGAAAGATGCGGAATTGATTGACGCCAATGGGAAACTCCCTTTTGTTACGTGGCTTCTACTGGACCGCGTGGCTTCGTCTGAAGAGATGGACGCCGGTGTCGTGGATTTGTGGCTGTCGAACTTCACTCACCCTGGGGGTACTTGGGACTACTATCCCAAGCAGGGGTACCCAGCAGTGGCCAAGAACAATGGCAGCTTCACTGCGTGGAAAGGAAGTGGACAGAGTGATAGGACATACCAGGTAAGCCGTTGGGCACTCGTCCTGGGCCAGGGGACAAGAAAGACGGATGGACAGAATTGCATACATCCCAAAGCAAGCATTCGGATTGAACACGAAACCGGTGCTCAATTTGTGCCAATAGTTTAGGAATTTATGTCTTTGCTCCAGTGAACTGTGCAAGAAGAGGACTGTATGAAGGTCAATTTGCAGCACTGCAGCTTGCAGCTGCACAGGAATTGTCACTGCAGTATCAATGGGCACGATGTGGCAACAGCCTCAGAAGCGATACTTCATTGGGGGTTTGCTGGTAGATTCTAGCTTCACATTGCTATCCTGTGCAGAGATGCCTCTGCAGTTTGTGTTGCAAGCAGTGACCTGGGTAAATAGTGGTATCCCTGTGTTCGAATTACCAGTAATTGACCACTGACCTGCCTCCATCAATTACTGATTTGTAATTCGATGATTAAATGGTGGCATATGAGAATACCGTTTCGAGGAATACCATCAACAACATCTTTGAATGACTGTCACCTTTTCTCGATGTTTCACACGTAACTTTCCAATTCTTTTATGACTGGAGGTCGGTGGCTGAGCACTGATATGCAATGAAATTCAATGACAAAGTTGAATACAGATTAAAGAGCTAGTTTAAAGAGATGAAAATCTGACACAACAAGACAGCTGCAGTTGCCATTTTGTGGAAGCACCTGGTCATGTGCTGGCTGACTGGTGCAAACATTGACCTGATTGAGATGGCGGGAGGACGGCTGGCCAACAATCAGCTTCAATCTTACCGATTTTGGTGATCGTGAGTTGGTACTATGGGTTGGAGCTGTGGGTCAGTGCCATGGGTCGATGCTAGGGGACGGTGCTGTGGGGTAGCGTGTTGTGCATGCGTGAAGTGTGAGTTCAGTCTGCCGTTCTGAGTGTGAGTTCTGGTGGACGAAAAAAGAGGCGCATTTCAGTATTAAAGAGAGCCCAAGACTTGTTCATGGCTTCTCTTGGTTTGGTTGTAAGACAAGTGGAGTCTTGGCTGCTTTTCCGACCATGCACTGCGAGTGGGTTTGAGCACCTCGTGCAAAGGTTGCCACCAAGGCCGAACCAAAACGGTTTGACTTGTGTTACATTGTGGCCCATCGCTACATGCATTCAATTGCAACGAGCAAGATCTCGAACTGGAATGGCCAAGGAACTTTGACACCTTGGCTTTAGCACTAGCTCACACCCAGTGCTGAAATGTGCTCTGCTTTTGTGTCATGTATCCAGATTACAACAACAATTATGCGCAATACCGTATAGTGGAAAGCCACTGAAGGTGGTCAGAATCTGGCAATGTCCTGGCAAACGGAACAGCAAAGCACCAGTTGCGGTCATCAAGGTAGCTGGACAGCGCAAAAATTTAATTTCGGCATGCTCTGCTCTGTCATGGTAAGCTGTCATGGTTGTTTTGAGGGTGTAGACGTTGTATCCCACATACCTGGACCACATTTGCTGGCCAAGGTAAAAGGCTTTGATGGTTCCTGCTTTGTGTTTAAGGGCATGGAAAAACAAGAAAGCCTCTTCTGCTAGTGTGAGAGAGATGCTGATGCACTTTCAGTAAACAAGGCACACAATGAGTAAGCCAGCTTTGCAACTATTGGTTGAGCAATGCATTGGGGTAGATGACTCTGTGGCATTGTTTCATCTCCATCTGTCCGAAGGTAGAGAAACACAGCAGCCCCTGGAACAAGCTCCAGGTTAGTTAACAAGTGTGTGATGCAGTAAAGAGATCAATGATCAATCAGGCACTTCTGTGCTGCTTGTATCCCTTGGCTAGACTTGGTGCACATTAGGGTCTGTTTCTGAGAACTTTTGTAGTGCTGCTGGCATTGCATCTGAGACATTCATCCTGCATGCCTTGTACAGATTTTGAGAAGGAATCATCGACAATTTTGCACCTGCAGTTAGTGATTATGCATGGTGAGCTGCAAGTTTTTGCAGATAAAACCTTCCTGCCTTTACTGATATATGTTCCATTGGCGTCACCAGTGTTGGTTCGACACAGTGTATGAGTTTCCTTTCTTGCCCCTGTGACTCATGTAGTAGTTTGCATTTGCTAGTTCATCAATGTTGTGGCTTACAAGAATGTTTTAGGAAGTAGGTTGCAAGCCCCTTGGCCATTGAGTTGTGTGTTGGCACTGGGTTGACTGCTCATTTTGGCTGATTAAGCAAAGAGCAAAAGGAGGATGTGGATCCTTGTGAGGAAACCATGAAGAGGAGCTATGTCAAAGAGTGTCCAACGCTTCTCTACTGGTGCGGTTCACAAAATCTTGCAGGGAGATATTACTATCTAGTGTTATTCACTAGTGTTGGCTGACGTTGGATAGCACTGTCCTAGCCCGTCTTTGCGGCATCAGGAAGGCCTTGCTTTTTTGCATTGAATTTCATGTTGCACAACCTGACCAACTGGCAGCCCCATCCTTGTCCCCATTGTTGGAAGAGGCAAAGGGCATGGACAATGCAATTTGCTGTATTCTTGTTATTTTTCTCTGGCTCAGATGATCGGCATAGATTTTGCCACTGACCAAAAGTTGCACATTGTGCGTATGTGTTGTGATGCACAGCTACAGAGGCAGGTGTGTGATGTTCGGATCGGCTCGTATCCTGGTCACATTGACAGAGCATTGAACAATCTTGTGAGCGATGAAGAACAAAGTTGATCGCTCCCAATCGTCAGATCTGCAAGATGGGATGTAGAATGTTGCCATGCAGTTCTTGGAGCGTTGCATCATTGCCTGCAGATTGCAATCGACTGCAGCTTTGAGACAACTCTGCCCGCCATTGGACAGGCGTGCTTGCAATCAGCTTTGCTTGCAGTGGCAGAAGGGTAGAATTAAGGCGATCGTGATGCTGCTGATAATGTGGCTGCTGCTTCTTTCGTGGGCAGCCTATACCAAGAGCTGGCCACAAAATGCCTGCCGTGGGCAGACCCTCTCGTGCACTTGAGTTATGTGGTCAAGGGCTTCAGTGCTCACGTTAGGGGCAGACTGGACTACCCCCAGTATGGGAGGCTGTTGACCTTTCTGCGGGAATATGAAAAATGATGCGGCGACTACAAGGGCATTGTCATAGTGTAACAAGGAGAGGAGCTGCCGCCATTGCAGAAAGGTTGCAATATGATATCACACACATTTGTACCAACACTGGCATAGCAGACATGCAGTCAGGTATGGAGGGTGAGGCTTTGATGGGGTTGCTGTTTGTGGTGGGAGTTTGTATCACACTTCACAGTTGGAAGTTGACTTTGGTGAGGTGGTCGCAGCCCATGAAGTTGCACAAATGTGTGATATGTTTCAGTCCAACAAGCAGAAACAGAAAGTTTCCTACTATTTGTTCCTCTGGAAGGTGGTAACAGTGGATGTAGGTGTGAGTGTATGTAAATGAGTTTAATGCCATGAGCAAACACACGTGCACATGTGCATTGCCA